AGTGAAGGAAAGACAGTGAGTTTGATTATCAGAGACTGAGTTTATAAGTAAAAATTTTAGTCCATTTTCAGAACTCTGTCAACAGCCAGTGTTTGGTATGACTACACTGGTAATTTAGAAAAGTGCTAAAAAAAACCAAGGTGTTTCTTCAAACATCAATAAAATAATGATCCGAATCATTGGAGGCCCTCAAAGAAAAGAGCACTTTGCAGTTAGGAAATTTAAATTCATTGGGAAGTTTTTGTATGGTCGATGTTACTAATATTAAAAACAAAGTTCAAGTCTAGTACCATTAATCTAGTAGCTAGAGAAAGCAGCTTTCTAAAAGATTTTTCTTAATGTGTTATAATAAGCAACATTTGGAGCATTAGTAAAATTCAGTAGCCAAGAAAACAAGATCGTTTGTTATACAGCAAATGCTTCATATCCCATCTTACTTTTGACACTTTTGTCGATGTTCTTTTTTTTCTTTTTTTATAGATTTACTTACTTGTGCATACAAGACTGGGATACAGGCCAGAGGTGTGGGGGGTGAGAAGATTCACCAGAGACAGAGTGGGAAACAGAACAGGCAGACTGACTGAAATATACTGCTGAGGGGAGCAGTGGGCGAGTCAGGAGAGGTCTGCTGCACCATGTGGGTGGCTCCCTGGCCAGGGATCAAATTCGTTCTGCAGTGACTGCAGATAGCTTCATAGGTTGAGTATTAACCCTTGCGCCACCAGGGAGGCCCAGTCAATGTTCTTTTAATGCTATTTGCTTATTAGGTTTTGTTCTTAGCCATATAAAATGATAAAATATTTTAGTTCTTATAGTAGTAACACAGAAAAGGACAAGTACAAATAATGTGATAAATATAATTCTGTCCTAGTGTATAAAATAGCTTATGAGTGTCAAAGGACAGTTTGCCATTCTAGTGTATTTTACAAATCTTTGAACCCGTGTACTATGGTAAAGTATAGTTTTAGTAATAGTATTTTGCATTGTGATTCAGGAAAAAAAAATGAACTCAAACCTATTTCAGAGATGCTTATTGAGAAGGAAGTATTGCAGCTAATTTATAGAAAGGAATGGCCTAGTTTAAGTTATCTTTGAATAGGTTACTAATAATGTCTGTCTGGCATAAAGTTGAAATAGTTTCCTTAATTTAGCAATGTGAACTTTAATTCACACAAACATATTAAGTCTTTTAAAACTGTAGTTGATATGTCATTTTAATGGAAAAATCGTACAAAGCTGACTAAAAGTAGCAATGGAATTACTTATGTTATCTTTTAAAGCATCTCTACTATGTCTTTCCTTTCTCTGTCAGTTCTTGCTTATTCCTTTTCTTACATATTGCCATTTTTCCAAATCTTTCCTGGCTATCTTCATATCAGGATAGAAATTGTACTTATTCAGTGAAACTTAAATTATCCTGAAAATCCTCAACTTGTCTATATTTGAAATACTTGCATGCCTTTAAAAGTTGTTATTTTCATCTCCATCTCTACCAGTACTCTTCCTACTTTATTTTTATCCTTGGCACTTATCACCAAAAGCATTTACTTATTTTCTCTCTACCCCTCCTAAAATTGAATTCCATGAGAATTAGGATTTTTGTTTATTGATGTCTTTATAATGTCTAGAACATCTGGCAGATAATAACTATGCAGAAAATATTTTCTGGATTATCCTGATTTTTGAAGACTTTCTCTTCTTTCAGTTGTATTGCTGGAATTCTTTCTCCATACATTTGAATAGGTTTCTTATCACTTTAGTAACAAATTAAATACCTTTACTAGTTCATTTACATACTTTATCATCGTTAACTCATCCATTAATTTGTTATTCCTTAACAAAGTCATTTATCTTGGGATCATTTATGTAGTCTTTTTCCCATTCTTTAACACATTAATAATGAATATCTTTAAAGTTAGGTAAAGTCTGGAACACCTGGGAGTGACATAATAAAGCTTTAACAATAGCAATCAGTTCTTCTAGCCTCCTGATCTCTCTTATGTCTTGTATATTTTAAAATGTTGCCCATAATATTGGGATAGAGGAATAAAAGTAATTTTTATAAAAATGTAACTAGGATCCTCTGCAGAATCCATAGGATCCAATAGAGATTTTAGAATAATTTGTGTCATTTTAATTTTTATAATTTTTAGCCCCCTTACCTAAAATTAGTGTTTTATACATAATTTAAACTTAATACTTTGGAATAAAAGGTAATTTTTCCCTATTAATGCTAATGTTTAATAACCTTCATCATTTAAAAAAATTATACTTTCTTCTACTTCTTACCCTTCCCAACAAAAATCACTTTGTAGAAGTGAAGAAACTAAAATGTAAGCCTAGGCATTCTGACTGTGCTCCACCAAAGTATACTGTACCAGGTGCTAGGTACCTCTGCACCAGAGTACAATTTTTGTTACTCAAATATAATCAAACTTTATAGTATTAACAAACTGTATTAATTTTGTCATTGATTGATATGGTATGTGGAAATAATATAGGAGACTGCGTTCATCTCAAGACAGAGGGTCAGAGTTAGCAATGAGAGTGAAAAGCAATGAGAGCATGGGGTGACAGTGGGCAGAAAGTGAGGAGCCAGCCAGGTAGAAGAGTGGAGGAAAGAAGTAGTGGGCCATATTAAAGATTTCAGTCCACTTAGATGCTTTCTTATATAATAGTAAGAATGTTACATGGGGGCCTTCCTGGTGGAGCATAGGTTAAAGTCTCAGCACTATTAAGCTATTGCCAGCTGATAGGGCATAAGTTGGATCACTGGCCAGGGAGCTAACACATAAGGCACAGCAGACCTCCCCTGTCTCGGCCGCTGCTTCCCTCAGGAGTGTTTTTCAGTAGAACCACCTGTTCTGCTCCCCACTGTCTCTGGTGAATCCTCTTACCCCTGCACCCTGGCCTAAACCCCAGTTCTTGCATGCATAAATAAAAAAATAAGTAAAAAAGTTACATGGTGAGTCAATAAAATAAATTGCCTTGGAAATATGTTTGCTAGTTAATTCATTAACTTTGACTCACTACCCCCAAAATAAAAGGTGTAAATGAGAATTACATTTTATCTGTGAAGTTTGAGATAAGGCAATTTTTTTAATTTGTTAAAATTTAATCAGAGTATTGCTAACTCTTACTCTCTTTTTATGAGAGTAAGTTTAAAGTTGCTTTCCTTCAAGGCAGGGAAACTAAAAATTAGAATGAATTAGAAATTTATTCCTTTAAGTCTAATTTGCTGTTACATACTTAGCTATAGTATATTCTGTGTTGAGATAACTTGATTTAAATGGAAAACTCATTTATTAAATACCCAAACTCAGTATCTATCCTTGGAGTAAGTGATTATAGCAATTTTTGACATTTATCCTTTTTTTTTTTTTTTTTTGTGGGACCCTCGCTGGCGGCCGGGGAACGAACCTGCACTGCAGAGGCTGCGAGCAGCCTCGCAGGCCAGCACTCAACCGCTACACCACCAGGGGAGACCCTGACATTTATTTATTCTTAATATTTTTTATTGTATTTTTCCAACACAGTGCACAAAATGAGTGGAGTATATACTTTTCTTTAAATGTATGATTATTTTGGATGATAGTTTTTAAAAGAACTAATAAATATGCTTAAGGAAAAAATTAAACTTTCTAATACATATTTACAAAGAATTACACATAAGATATTCTTTTTTTTTTAAAAAAAGATATATTTATACAAGAACCAGGATACAGGCTAGATGTGCCGGAGGGTGAGAGGATTCACCAAAGACAGAGTGGGGAAGAGAACAGGCCTAGTGACGAAATACACTGCTGAGGGGAGCAGCGGGCAAGACAGGAGAGGTCTGCTGCGCCATGTGGGTTTCTCCCCAGCCGGCTGGGATCGAACTCCCACTGCAGAGGCTGCAAACAGCTTCATAGTGTGGCGCTCAACCGCCTGCGCCACCAGGGAGGCCCAAGATATTCTTTTTATGTTGTGATTTTATTATTTGCTTACATCGTTGTTAATTTTTGGACATTATTTGATTTCTCCCCTCAGGTGGAATGTCCTCAAATTACTAACTTTAGGTCATATGTCAAGTGTGCAGCTTTTTTTTTTTTTTAAAGATTTATTTATTTTTATACAAGAGCTGGGGTACAGGCCAGAGGCACAGGAGGGTGAGAGGATTTACCAGGGACAGAGCGGGGAGCAGAACAAGCAGATGACTGAAATACACTGCTGAGGGGAGCAGTGGGTGCGACGGGAGGTCTGCCTTGCCATGTGGGATTTGGTGAGGATCCCAGCCGGCCGGCCGGCCTGCTGGGATCAAACCTGCTTGCTTCAGAGGCTGTGGACAGCTTCACAGCGCTGCGCTCAACACGCTGCACCATCTCTTCTTTGAAGAAATGAAGGAACACATCTTGTGTGTCATTACACAACAGCTCAGGTCCTCATAGTCCATCTCCCCTGTGTCTTATGCTCTTCCCTCCCTTGTTTTCACCCCTCACTTCCTCTCCTCTAAAGTATGTAAGCATTAATTCTAATTAGCCTCTGAGTTCATGCACATATTGACTGTTGGATTTAAGGGATCTGGAATTACACATATTTAAAAAGTAATACAAGTCAACTTTCATGGTTGGTTTTTCACTATTGTTTTAAGTAAAGAATGATTGAGAAATAATTGAATACTTAGAAAATTTATTCCTCAGTTACTACTTAGATATATCTAAGTATGTGTGTAGTGAAAGGCAAATTGTAAAAGATACTCATTTATTTCTATAATCTGGCAAAGATTCAGTATTCTCATATGACCCCCACCAATCCTGTAGTCTTAATTTCTTCCAGACCCTTTCTATCATGTCATTGTTAGTGGTTGTGTAATGGCACACAAGATGTGTTCCTTCATTTCTTCAAAGAAGAGGTAGTGTAAAACAAAAGCTGCATACTTGATATATGACCTAAAGTTAGTAATTTGAGGGCATTTCATCCTTTCTGAATCATACTTAAAGTGCACAAATTATTAGTTACAGCCTATTGAGTCATTACGTAGTCAGCATTACCATATAACAAATATTGGGTATCTTTTACAGGAGACTTTGCAGCAGTTGATCATGATGTCATTGCCAAATGTCTTAATCATTGGCAAAAATCCCTTTTCTGGTAAGTATTAAAATTAGCCCAATGTGATGATAAGTTTTATCTTTTTGTAATACTGTAGTGCTTGTTTACCAAGGTCTTGTTTATTTACATTAGTTCGCAAGGCTTATAGATGTTGGAGCTTATGTTCCATTTTATTTAGAGGAAAAAAAACTTCATTTTAAATTAAGTTCATTATTTATTTATTTTTTTATTTTTAAAGATTTATTTATTTATACAAGCACTGGGTACAGTCAGAAGCGTGGGAGGGTGAGAGAATTCACCAGAGGCAGAGCAGGGAGCAGAACAGGCAGATGGAAGAAGTACACTGCTGAGGGGAGCAGCGGGCGGCAGGAGAGGTCTGCGCACCATGTGGGACCCTCACCTGGCAGTCAGGGATCGAACCGGTGCTGCAGAGGCTGCGGGTAGCTTCACAGCCCAGCGCTCAACTGCTGCGCCACCGGGGAGGCCCAAGTTCATTATTTAAATATGAACTTTAAATATAAGCTATTCCAAACTGATACTTTCCTGTGATTTTCAGTGTCTCATTACGATAGATAATGATGTTATTAGCTTAAAGGAACATAACATTAGACAAGAAGTTATTTTAAAATAATTTCTAAGTTCCTGTTCATATATCTACTACATATCATTGTCACAGTTGTTTGAATCTAAGGGTTTGATTGATAACGTTTTAATTTATGTTAAACTGTTTCTGAATGGAAAGAGGAGAAACAGTTTCTTTGAGCATTTTAATTATTTTCTTCAAAAGTTTCTGCCCTTTATCAGATTTTAAATGTAGCATATTTAGAGTTATAATTTTTGAACAATTGGGGGAAATTAGCAGTTGATTAAGTTTCAACAATATTCTTACAGGTTGAATGTAATCCAAATCAACTCCCACCTGCGCTTCCATCCTTTGTCAAAACAAGAAAAATGAAATTAAAAAAAAAAAATAATCTAAAACCAAGCATCCTAAGGGGTAAATCAGGAGTTTTGGATAGTCTTTGGAGATAGTCTAGGACTTTTGACTACATGAATAAAAAGCTGAAAACATATTTTTTTGTAAGGAACAGAATTACTTTTAATTTCATATGCATTTATTAAGTGTCTACCAAGTTATAGGGACCAGGAATATAAGGAAAATGGTCTGTGTCCTTGAGGATCTTGTGTTTTGGTGAGAGATGTACAGATTACTGGGAAATCATGTAATATTTAGTACAAAATGGAGCTAGATGAAAATGTAAAGGCATATAAAATATGGAACCATTAATTAGTCTTCAAGTTGGCAGATAGTGAGTGTTGGGGACCATTGATGGTTGAGTCAAGGAAAAATACTCAGAAATGTTAGAATTCTGCCTAAAATGTGATTACTAAGTAGGTCACTAGAAGGATGAGTGGGTAGGGAAGAAAGAGATTAATAGGAAGTTAGGTAGGGGAGTGTTATTGTATATTTGGGGAAGGTGATTAGCTGTCCGAGTATGGCTAAGGAAGTAATTTGTTTCATAGAGAGTAAGATACAATGTTTGAAAAGATTTGCATTTCATCATAGACACATGGCCCAAATGTGATTTTTTTGGTTAGTGAAGAAGAAAATTTGAATTGAATGCTGTTGTTACATAATTTATTCTTTACTTCTGCACAGACCATTGATTTTATCCATCTTGGAATATACATTTGTTTTACTAGCCTCACTGTAAAGTGGTATTAAAAGTTTTATCCTCATGAACTTACACAGTGGAAAGCCATTTAAATTTTACAGGTAGATGAGTTATTTATGTGTTTTAGAAAGAAAACGCTAATAAGCCCAAAAAAGCCAGGCCACTTAAGAGTCATTTTGGCTGACTTGTGACATTTCTCTATGTCAGTAGTTCTTAATTTGCTAAACTGGTGTAGTATAATCATTTATGGAGAAGTAGTGGATTTATAATTAGCATAATTATTACATGTTGAGGCCTATTTTATCTGTATTGTAATTCTTCAAAATTTAGATCCTTGCCTATTTCATCTGCTATTACCATCTTGCTCACATCTTGCTTTTTTAAAAAAAATTTTTTTAAAAAAGATTATTTATGCATATAAGAGCTGAGGCACAGGTCAGAGGTGCGGGAGGGTGGGGGGAGGAGGGGATGAGAGGATTCACCAGAGAGAGAATGGGCCACAGAACAGGCAGACGGACTGAAATAAACTGCTGAGAGGGAGCAGTGGATGAGACAGGAGAGGTCTGTTGCACCATGTGGGTTGTTCCCTGGCTGGCTAGGGATTGAACTCGTGCTACAGAGGCTGTGGATTGCTTCATAGTGCTGTGCTCAACCCCTTGCACCACCAGGGAGGCCCCTAAAATTTTATTTTATATATGTTTTACATTATTCTTCATTTTTGTACAGTGTATGCTTTCTCCTCTCAGGTGTAGCCCCCATGAAATTCCCACCACCCATTCACCCGTGTACCATCACTATAGTCCCTTGTGTCCTTCCCACCCCTGTTTTGATCCTTCTCCCTCCTCTTTTCTGTGGAATTAGACCTGCTTTTCAAAAATTCTCCACTGTATAGACTTCATCCTTGGGTCAAGTTGTTGTGAATGTTACTTCTATAAATGATTTTGCCAATACAAGAAAAAGTTAAACTACAGTAAAACTGTTTGTATTTCAGAACAAGGCACTGAAGAAGTTAAAAAGTTGCTTTTACTTTTACTGGGTTGTGCAGTTCAGGTAAGTTAAAATATTTATATTTTCATGGTAATAACTTCTTAGTGTGCTTTTTCGGGTTTTAGTTTTTAAAAGGCTATATATTTCTACAGTCTGTTAGAAATTTTAAAATAGCCATAGTCAGCGTAAGAGGATTTTGAGGGGAAAAATTTCAAATTTTAGTTTCATTATCATTTAAAATCTTTAATTTTTTTTCTTATTCTGAGCCTTCTAGTGGACCCGAGTTTTTCAAGTATCCAGGAAATAACTTCATAAAAGCCTCTTCTGAAATATCTTTACAATTTATGCATACATGTGTGTTATAGAATGGGAGGGGAATTAACAATAACATGAAGAAGGGTATTATCAGAAAACCTCTGTAAGATACCATTTCTGATACAAAGTAGGAACAGAAGAATCATATTTTTATTATAATCATTGATCAAAAAAGGACTATATATTAAAAACCCAGACTCCCAAGACATTTGTCATAGTTAATTTTATACATATTGCTAAGTAAACTGGAGAATAAAGATTTTTTTAAGATGTTTAGAGAGAGCTGGTTAGCGTGAAAGTAATGTTGAAGGGAAGAATTTATTAACATTGTAACTTTTTTTTAAGTTAAGGGGAATAGTAGAAAAAGCCAATATATAAGTATATGTTAACAATGTTGAAGGAATAATGAGTGAAGAGTGACTAGAGTCGGGGGGAAAAATCTAGCAGTAAGTTTGGAAGATGTCCACGACCCAGGATGGCAAGTTTGAGAATAAAGAAAGAATAAATACAAGCCAGTTTATTTTTTTTGTAGCAAGAGAAGATAGCTTTTATCAATTATAGAAATCAAATCAGAGGAGTAGGAATGTGCAGAAGTCCTATATTGTGGGGCCTGTTTCCCTGCAGTACCTCCCCATTGCTGAAGAAGAAAATTGCCTCAGATTCTTCAAGATTAATATATTCAAAAAGGAAATAGGAAAAATAATAATCAAAAATCTTGTGAAAAAAGTAGGAAAACCACAAAACATGCTAATCACCAAGGAAGACAACTCTTCAGAAGATATACCACAGGGAACAGAAAGAAATCCTCAACCATCTAAAGATGATGTAAGCTTGGAAACAGAAGGAAACCTTAGTGGAGGGCTGACTCAAACTGGCCAGGGATTTAGAGATGACAATCCTGTTAGATATTTGGACCCTAAAGAAATGGTAAGAGTAGATGAGTTGAAAGACTTAGGGAAGAGATGAGAGAGTTAAAAAACAAGTTTGTGATGATGCATTGAAATCAGGCATTTATGTTAGCTGTCCTTATACTGTGTGCTTGAGGCCTTGAATTTTTTTTTTTTTGGTCTGATATTAAACTCTAGCCCCTACTTTCTTTCAGCATTTTCTGATGTAATTTTGACCTCCGTTTCACTTTTAATCATCTGGTGGAATTTTATTTTAGTTTATATTCTCCAGTTTATATTAGATGCTAGTTTTCTTGTAACTAGCATCTCATTGGATTTTGACCCATTCTCCAAATCTATTTTTCAATTGGGAATTTTCACACATATTCATGAAAAGATGTTTGTTCCATAAAGTAAGGCCTAACAATTACATGTGTAGGATAAAATTCCAGTATCGTGTGTGTGTAGAATTTTGTTTTTGCTTATATATTTCTTAAAGAACAAGTGACAAAAACCAAGATTTTTTTTATTTTTTAAGAAAATAAGCAAAGACACAATACGATCATCCTAACCCTCAATGTCCATATTATTACAATTTTTATAGAAATGGGTAGAGATAGCTAGATGTCAGACTTTTACATGAAATGAGTTTGTCAAGAAAAATAGAAAAATAATCTTTACACACACACACAGAGACATTTTTGGAGTCATAGCAGGATATTTTTCTTTTCTCTTGAAAGCACTTGAGGCTTGCATCTTTTGCAGTGTCAGAATGGCAGATCTGCCTAGGAAGGAGGAGGGATCCAGTTTTGGACAGTATTTGTTCATTGTGTATTCTTAAAATGTTAATGGCCTGATTTTTAAGAAGTGTTTCCTCCATAGCATGTACTATTGTAAAGGACAGGAAGAGAGATTTTTGAAAAAAAGATACAAGGCTTAAGGAGTTAAATTTTTGAGACAGACTGAAAAACAGTAATAGTTTAGCGTGATGATTACCGTAATGCACAATATTTTCATATTCATGTTTGTAGTGTCAGGGAATGTCTCCTGAGAACGTAATGTTTAAAACGAGAGCACCGATGCTGAGAAAACATCTTTGACAGAAATATCAAGTATGGCTAGATTGTAATGTGTGTATGGGAGAATGGTAAGAAATTAGACTTAAGTGTTGACAGGGATTGTGTGATGAAGAACTTGGTCTGTGTAAAACAATTTAAATTTAATCCTGTAAATATTTGGGAGCCACTAATTGCTAACATTAAATGTGTAACAATCAAAATCACTTACAATCATAGCCTCCAAATGTGATTGTACGAACAATTAGAAGTCTGTTGATACAGAAGAACCAAAAACTACTTGAGGGTAAGAAAACTACTGATGAAACCATGCATTCAACAAGTATTGTTTGAACACTTTATAGAATATTACTTCTATTACGGAGAATCTGCTTATCTATTAGTTAAGTCTGTTAAAATTCTGATGTTTACTGTAGTCAGTATGTAATATAAATGTTTTCCACATCAGAATAGTTTTCTACTTGTGATTTCAGTGGGCCACAGGTTTTGAAAAATGTTATATTCACAAAAGAAATAGAAAAGGAAGCTCTCATTAGGAAATTGAAAAATTTCTTTTGAAGAAAAATTACGACATTCTTAAGGGGAAGCAACATTCAAAATCATTAAAATTAGTCACTATCCAAAAATTCTTAACTCATGTAATAAATTATAATTAGGATGTTCTAATCCTCAATTATACATAAATGTAAGTCACAAAATTAAGTGAACATGAAGACAACTGTTCAGGACCAGAGTGTGGATATTTTCATTATTGACTGACTAACCCAGTTCTTCAGATTCCTTTTAAATGGATAACATAAGTTCCCTGAACTACTTGAGCATCAGCTAGAATTTTCACAAATATATGGCTCTACACCCCTCCCCTGAAGTAGTTGAGAGAATCCCAAATGAAATTATCCTACACAGAAGGAAAATTTTTTAGTATTTGTTCTGTGGAAATTTTTTTCTATAAAGATCTTATAAAACTTATGACTCTTCAGCAGAACGTGGGTTTTATGTCAGTTCTGCTAACTCAGTATCCAGAAATATTACTTATTTTGAACTTTGGCCAGGTTTGCATAGTGCTAAAAGTAACTAGGTGTCAAGAGAGGTTGAAATTACAATTCTGACCTTTTGTGTGCCCTCAAACACAATTCTAACTAGTATTTAATTCAGAAACAACTGGTCAGCTTGAGGGCTACAGTCTGTTGTCTTCCTATGTTACCTGTACAGCATTTTTTAAAAATTAGCATTTTAGACCAGTAATAATTATACTGCTTTTTGGGGAAATAAAATGATGCATAATTTATAGCTGAACTATTTCTTTTTCTGAAAATACATTAAAATTGCGATTGTAACTTAAGCTGAAGAGGGGATTCATTGCTGACATTAGTGTTTCAATTTTATCTCTTAATCACAGAATAATATGCATAACAAAATTTACCCTTTTAATAACCATTTTTAAGTGTACAGTTCACTAACATTAAGTATGTTCTCTTTATTGTGTAATCATCAGCACCATCTATATCCAGAACTTTTTCCATCTTACAAAATGGGGACTCTACCAATTAAAGAACAATTCCCTACTACTCTTTTTGTCCCCACCACACTTGGCAACTATCAGTGCAATTTTGTCTCTCTCAATTTGAGTACTCTTACGATCCTACAAATGTGGAATTACATAGTATTTGTCCTGTTGTACCTGACTTACTTCACTTAGCATAATGTCTTTAGGGCTCTCATCCATGTTGCAGCATTTGTCAGTATATCTTTATTTTTAAATCTGAGTAATATTCTATTGTATATATACCACATTTTGTTTATCCAGTAATCAATTGATAGATACTTGGCTTGCTTCCACTTTTTGGTTATTGTGAATAATGCTGCTTTAAAATGGGCGAACAAAAAACTGTTGAGTTCCTACTTTCAGTTCTTTACCAAAAGAACTTCTGACTTTTGTCAGAAGTGGAACTGCAGAATCATGATAATTCTCTTATTTATTATGTTAGGAATGGCCATACCATTTTCTGGATTGCCTATACTATTTTATATTCTTGTAAGCATTTTCCGGTAGTTCCAATTTTTCCACATCCTTGCCAACATTTATTATTTTCTGGGTTTTTTAATAGTCATTCTTTAAACAGGGAATTTAATTTTTTTATTTTTACCTTTAAATGTGGCTTATTTTGGTCTATTTTGATGGAGTTATGATCTATCTGTTCAGCCATTAGTGTTCTTACTCCTATTGAAAACAGTGTATTTCTAAGTTTATTATTTTCCTGTTCAGTAGCTTGTTTTGGGTGCTCCTTTCTCAACTCACTAAAACGTTTCCACAAAAATCTATCTTCTTCCTTTAAGAAGAAGCACTGAGAGTGCCAAGTGAAAATTGGAGGAATAATATATTAAGATCTTAAATTCTGGTGGAATGCATTTCTCCCTCTCCCCCAGCCCTACTTCCCATCCAAACTACAGTTTTGCTCATTCCTATATCTTAGCTTTCGCTATCATACCATGGTAATCTGCTGGCTTAGGAATCAGTTATTATGACAGAAGTAATTTTGGTGTTTATAACACTTTAGAACATAATATAAAATAGAGCTTGATTTTGAGTGAAAAAATTTGTTCATGGTTATTGAGTTTTTACGAGTCTTTATAGCTGGAAGTTAAAGTATTTACATGTCTATTTTAACATCAGACTTTTCGTATGCTTTGTAGCTGGGCTGTCGGTATAGTAGCCACTAGACACATGCAGCTATATAATTAAAATTAATTTCAATTAAATAAAATGAATTGTTCATTTTTTTAGTAGCACTTAGATACATTTCAGGTATTCAGCAGCCACATGGCTATTGATTACTGTATTGCATAACACTGATACATGAAATATTTGGTCACATTATTCAAAGTTTGAGTCTTCTCTCATTCACTTTTTCATCTTGACTATGTCTCTTTTCTATCCTTCAAGATCTTACGAAATTCATTGTATATTCTTTTTTAAAAAAAAAGCCTTACAATTTAAAAAGTATATTTAGAATTTTTAAGATTTTTAGTTTTAGTAAAGGTGTGATGTAGCAAAATTTGTGAATATTTTAAGGATAAAGAAGAATTCTCATTTGTGTTGAGAAGGTGTTAATGGGGTAAGCTCCTAAAGAATATAAATTTAGACACAGTGATTTTAGCCCTTTGAAAAAATTCGTCTATTTAGTTTAAACTGAAGGCAGACAAAGATATGAGAGTTGAGTTGGGGAACCCTCAGTTGTTATATCACCATTTTGTATGTTCTTTGACTCAGAGTATGCTTAGATGAACATTTTGGGAAGCTTTAAATTTTAAAAATGGGGTTCCCATTCTATGAAGTTAATTATTTTATATATGCTACAATTTGCTATCAAAAAGTCATTCTTAATTGTTCTCTCTAGGTTTGTCAGATACTATTTACGAGACAAAAATAATTTTATTATTTTCTAGACAAAAATATTAGGAATTGTACATTCTTGGCAATTAATTAAATCATTTAAATACTATGTTTAATAATTTCATTTTTACAGAATAGAGAACTTTTTGTACATATGGAATATTACTTAAATTGTATCACAGCAGAAATAGTTTTACAATTTGATGAAATAAATGTGTAGAATGTAAATTGAAACCTTGCTAAGTTTCTTAATGATCAAAGAGCCAGTTTTTCTTTTTGTGAGTATATTGTCTTCACTAGTCCAGTAATTGGCCCAGGAGATGCAGCTAAGCTAGACAAAGCGGTGCTGTCTATTTTGTATGCACTTCTCATTTGGTAGCTGCAGAAATACAGTTATACTAGCAGTTGGACTGCAGTGTAAGAGATGTAGAGTGGAGACAGAAATTAAGATGCTTGTTAAATTGTTACTCAATACTGAGTGGAAAGAAAAAAGATTAGGTTTGCATTTTGATTTATTTAATTTATATAAAGCTTTTAAAAAGTCACACAGAAAAGAACTACCTTATTTCACTTGATTCATGTATACTTATATATATACATTTTTAAATTTTGCCCAGTTATGTTTTATAAGAAACAAACCAAGTATTTATTGTTTTACCTTATAAATGTTGAACTGGGCCACAAAATTGGGTTTCTTTTATTAAGATTGCTAGGCTGAAGATGTGAGAATAAATTGTAAGCTTGAAGTAAAAATTGCTTACAATTTTTTTATCCCCAAGAAGAAAGACTCTGTTGTTTGATGATAGCCAAAGACTGACTGAGCATTTTGGCCATATTCCGAATTCTGCCACTGACTCACTGTGTTTTTTGGCAAGTAACTTACCTTCCCTGAAACAAGTTCTTGATTCTTTACTTCTGTTTGTAAAGTTAGCATAATAATATTGTACTGACCTCAGATGGGTTGTGTAATGGTTTCCTGCTTTAGAACTTTCCAACATAAAAATAGTATGGATTTTCAGTGCTTTGCTTTTTAAATATATTTCTAATTTTTTGTCTTTTTATTAGGTCAGTATATTAGACCATTTAAATGCAAAACAAAACCTTCATTGTGCCGTTCAAAACATACTAAGCTATTCAGCCTGGTGAATTTTTAGTTATTTACAACTTGTTAATGAGTATACATTATAAAGTATGAATGATTTTTTTGTTTATTTCAGTGTCAGAAAAAAGAAGAATTCATTGAAAGGATTCAAGGTTTAGATTTTGATACAAAAGCAGCAGTTGCCGCACATATTCAAGAGGTAATAACCTGTTTATATTTTTATTGCATTTGTTAATGAAGCTTGTAGTGAGTTTTTTATATCTCATCGAATACTTAGATATAGGATAAATGTGAACAAATCAAGGTCAAATATAGATGAGCCCTGTTTTAGACAAATTGTCTTCTCTTTAGAGAAAGTTTCTCAAATGAATCATTTTTTACCTGGCACAGTGATGACTAGAAATGTATTGTGACCTTTATCTAAAGGGACATACACAGAAAGTGTTATCTGAGAAATGAAATCTATGTCTTTGTCATACAGAATGGTCAGTGAATGGAAGCAGCAAAAAGTGAATCACTGCCTGTAATTCAAAACTTTAGTGGCGTAAAAATAGAACCTTAGTGTTGTCATTCCAGTGATTGCGTTTTGAGTCAGTGGACAATAAGTTTTACTGTAGACATTATTTCAGTATACCACGTAGTGACTTGTAACATCCATATAAAATCTTAAATCTTGGCAGTGTTATGATTGTCAAATATTTGAAGCTAATGTAATTTGTTAGGATTGGTTTTAAAGCTGCTATTTCTGCATCTATCTAGTCTTGGGCTTTCAATCTTGCGTAATTAGTAAATCATTTTTAGAACTAGAGCATGTTAAATTTTACATGTTGATTAGAGAGAGAAGTAAGGAAAGGGAAGGGAGAGATTTTTAAATAGTGAAAATTGGTAGTGTTTAAAATATGCTCATTCCTCTGTGTGTTGTGCGTTTATACTAACTTGATTTTCTAAATCATATTTCTAATCATATTATACTAATATGATTTTCCACCATTTCTGAAAGTGTTAGTTTTGCTGTTTATTGTGAAAGTTAAAGCAAAATAGCAGAATCACAGCAAAAAAATAATTATTTCAGCAATATAATTCCCATTTATTTATTTATTTTAAGATTTAATTTATTTATACAAGAGCTGGGGTACAGGTTTGAGTCGCAGGAGGGTGAGAGGATTCACCAGAGACAGAGTGGGGAGCAGAACAGGCAGATGGATGGAAAGCACTGCTGAGGGGAGCAGTGGGCGAGACAGGAGAGGTCTGCTGTGCCATGTGGGTTGCTTCCTGGCTGGCGGGGAATCGAACCGGTGCTGCAAAGGCTGTGGACAGCTTCATAGTGCTCCACTCAACCCGCTGTGCCCCCAGGGAGGCCCTCCATTCTTTTAGAAGTCTAATACTGTGAATCCTTTTCTCTTATGGTTCTATAACACAGTCATCCTAAGTGTATATTATAAAGATTTAGCCTTCCAAGTATTAAAATGTAATAAGATCTATGCTACAGGGCCTCCCTTGTGGCCCAAGGGGTTAAGATGCAACCTATGAAGCTGTCCACGGCCACTGCAGCATGAGTTCAATCCCCAGCCAGGGAGCTACCTACCCACATGGCATAGCAGACCTCTCCTGGCTCACCTGCTGCTCCCCTCAACAGTGAATTTCAGTCAGTCTGCCTGTTCTGTTCCCCACTCTGTCTCTGGTGAATCCTCTCACCCCCCACACCTCTGGCTTGTACCCCAGTTCTGGCATGCATAAATAAATAAATCTTTTAAAAAAAAGATCTATGCAACAGGGTTAAAAAAATTTTGCTTTGAATTCAAGTACACTAAATATAGTCTTATCTAAAAGGAATGTTCAATTTACTTTTTTTATGCAGTTGTTATATATCAATATTACCTTCCTTTAGGAGCGCATTTATTTATTTATTTATTTTAAAGATTATTTATTTATACATACAAGAACTGGGGTGTAAGCCAGAGGTGTGGGGGTGGGGTGTGAGAGGATTTACCAGAGAGAGTGGAGAGCAGCACAGGCAGATCTACTGAAATACACTGCTGAGGAGAGCAGAGGGTGAGACAAGAGAGGTCTCCTGAGCCATGTGGGTTAACTCCCTGGCCAGCGAGGGATCAAACTCGGCTGTGAATCAAACTCCTGCCACAGTGGCTATGAATAGCTTGATAGTGCTGTCTTTAACAAACCCTGTGCCACTAGGGAGGCCCCAGGAATGCATTGATTTAAATGATTTATTTTGGTTTGCTGGAACATAAATATATACAGAACAGAAATTTAATATAAATAGTAAACCAAATTGTGAGTCATAACCTTGTGGTCATTTGTTAATTTGAAATGTTTTTTAGAGATCATATTTGCTTTTCTAATTTTTATTACATGGAATATATAATATTTTAACTAATATACTAAAATTAAATAGACTTTTAAATGTATTATCTTTTAATTGTTTATTTTGGTTGTTTTTCTAAAGGTAACCCATAATCAAGAAAATGTATTTGATCTGCAGTGGATGGAAGTAACTGATATGTCTCAGGAGGAAATAGAACCACTCCTGAAAAATATGGCATCACACCTAAGAAGACTTATAGATGAGAGAGATGAACACTCAGAGGTTTGTGTGTTTCTTTCACTTATGAAATTTTGCTTCCCAAATAAAGGGAAAAAGTAACTTCAGAGATTTTTTAGAATTGATACTGTTTCTTAGGAACAGGTAACAAAATATATTTATTGTTTTGCATGCAACATAGGAACCAGAAAGGACTTACAAGAGCCCCAAAATGCTATTAAACATAGTGCAATTAGGTTTTCTTCTCTCCTTTCCTTTTAAATTATTCTAAGTTTGTCCTGTGTGTTTTTTTAGTTATCCCCATAGCTTTGGCAACAGTACAAAAGTGTGAAACTGAAAATTTCATTAATGTAAGTGGAAAAATCATTACCTCGAAGCATAAGAATTTGCTTAAGGTTAATTTCTTAGTCTTATTGCTACATTCTAAGGTTGGAAAAAAAATACTGTAATAAAGGGAGAATAACAGGTATTTTGAATAAAATATCACACAAAAGTTTTCAAATTTTTGTAGATATTAAAGGAGGTATGATTGTAGAGAATTATAAGTTCCTTTAAGAGTACTTTGCTTGGGCCTCCCCGGTGGCGCAGCGGTTGAGCGCTGGGTTGCGAAGCTGCCCGCAGCCTCTGCGGCACCGGTTCAATCCCCGGCTGCTCCCCGGCCACCGGAGGAGGGTCCCACATGGCGCGCAGACCTCTCCTGCCGCCCGCTGCTCCCCTCAGCAGTGTACTTCGGTCCTTCTGCCTGCTCTGCTCCCTGCTCTGGCTCTGGCTCTGGTGAATTCTCTCACCCTCCCACGCTTCTGACTGTAACCAGTGCATGTATAAACAAACAAACAAATAAATAAATAAATAAAAAACATGCCTCTATTAAAAAAAAAAAAAAAAAGAGTACTTTGCTTTTTAAAAAGTAAAATTGCACTATTTTTATTGTAATCTCTGAAAACAGCATACAATTTTTAGAGAAGTGTAAACTTCAGTGCATATTGTGGTGAGTGATTTTCTTGATAACAGACCAAAGTATGCTGCCACTGAGGAGAATGTATAGCTTTGATAATTCCCATTTCCATGGGAGAGATAGTTTTGAGCTTGTTTATAGAGGATTAGATTACTGTTGATATAAATTAAAAATAAATAGAAGAAATTCCTAAAGATTTTTTTTTTTCTGAACAAAATTTTCATGTCTCTATATTCAGTTCTGATAGGAATTTTCAGGTTTTTATCCAGCAGTGAAAGAGAAAATACAGAAAGTAAATTAAAAAACATTTTAGAGCAACAGTTAATTTTTTTAAGAAGTTAAAACAGTGAGACCAAAAGAAGAAAAGAGAATTGAAAACATCCCTAATATCTTTCAAACTTATCCTGAGAAAGTTAGATCATTTCATTTTCAATCTGATTTTTGAACCATATGTTGTCTCTCATGTCTTTTCAGTGCTTTATCTGTTTTCTAGAACATTCCTCTATTTGCATTTCAAGACAGTAAAGATATTTTAATAAGGTGTCCTCCACCTTCTGCATAATTACTAAAAATTTTTATTTGGGTTATTTTATAACTGAATGACAGCTACAGATTTTTTGATTTAACTTACATGAAATGATTAATATGACTGAAGAGAAAGACATTATTTTGGAGAAATGTGAACAAAATACATATCTGTATCAAAACTGAAAGGAATATGAAAAACAGGGGTTTGAAAATCTTAAAGTTTATTATCATTCCTCATTAAGCATTTTTAGTTTAATTTGTTTTTCTAAGAAGGAAAAAAATGGTGGGCTCATTCTCTGGACTCAGGTATTCAGGAAACACATTGGTAACTAATTTAAACCCAGTCTTTTTTGGGAAAGAATGTTCAATTTGTATTTCCATTGGACTAATAAGAAAAAAATAATTAAAAGTAAATAAAAAATTTAGGCAAATGTAAATAGTATATAACTATAATAATTTTGCATCATTCAGTTGGATTGAACAAGTTATTTCTTCGATTTTCCCTTTAACTTTTTTCTATCTTGATTAATCTTTTGTTATTAATTGTTTCACTTCAATCTGGAAAGTATAATTTTGTCACCTGTTTATAATTACTCTTCACTTTTTTATAATACTGTGGTACAAGTAATCTCTTCTGTCCTCTTTCTTTTACTATTAAAAAATGGAGATTTTAGTCAATTTATGTTTGTAACTGTTACGCAAACTTTGTGTTACAAGATTTTCACATACTGTCACTACGTCTACAAGGAGGTTTGCATCCCATCAAAGGTCTATGGAAAATGGAATCAAGAAGCATTGAGATATGGGAAGCAGATGGGAACTAGTATTGTAAGAAAAGACATAGAATACGTAGTAAAGAGACTGCCTTGGTGTCTCCTCATCATTCCTAGCTAGTTGTATGATATGGACAAATTATTCTCTGCCTCCGTACCTTACCTACAGATTGAAGAAGATTGAACTAATCTTCTGTGGTTAGATCCCTCTGAGGTCCGTATTCATAAATCTAGAGCAGTGATTGTTGTCCATGTCTGCAGTGATGGCAAGATTGTATTTCTGCAGTATCCAATATGGTAAAGGATTGGTATGGCTGTTGCACACTTGAAATGTTGTTATTGTGACTAAGGAAATGAGTCTTTTTACTTCTTAAATTTGAAATTAAATAGTAGCCATTTGTGTTAGTGGTTACCATATTGGACAACACAGTTGTATACATGTCATTTATGGTTCATTTCTTTCCTTATTGATAGGTCTTTTATGCCTTTGCAACAGTTGGTATCTGGTGTAGCTATTTTACCACAATTGATTTCTTTTGTTACAAAGCTAGAAAGAGAGAAAACATTGTCTTATTCTAATAATAACTAATCTGTGAACTATTGACTGAATCTTTAAAAGATGATAGCTAAATATTAAAAAGTTAAAATATTTTTGACCATTAAATTTTTTTGATATTGTAGTACAATGCTTAGACTCAAGGAACCATATTGATGTGTTTAGTTCTCTGGCATTTAGAATACTAAAAGTGATTCTATGTTTATTTCTCTATTTCCTTAGACTATCATAGAACTCTCTGAAGAGCGAGATGGTCTTCATTTTCTGCCCCATGCCTCTTCAGCTGCACAGTCACCCTGTGGTTCTCCTGGCATGAAGCGAACAGAAAGTCGACAACATCTATCAGTAGAACTGGCAGATGCTAAGGCTAAGATAAGAAGGCTTAGGCAGGAATTGTAAGTTGCTGATTTTCAAGGCTCATTGTGTTTATTTGGCTGCAGAGGTGACTTAACCAATATTTTTAAGCTACAAAATATAAATCAGTGGTTCCCAATTGCTAGTCTGAGTCCGTTTTTCACTAGCATTTGTCAAAATGAGACAGTTAAGGATACTGGCATAAAATTTTACAATTTAAAGGATGCCCTTTATTCTGAATTTATGTCCTTTATATCTTTCTAGTGTTAAAATATCCTTTCTTTTATAAAATAATTCTTCCTTGACAAATTACAGTCTGTTTAATGTTGTATTTTTACATTCTGTAAAATCTAAAGTACTGGGAACCACTAATACATGTCAATAAGTTTAGCTCTTTTATAATTAATATTATGAAAGACTAAATTGTTGGCTTACCATATTAAAAGTGTGTTGTGTGCATTTCATCTGCATGATTAATATACCTGAGCCATATACTTAAAAATGGTAAATTTTCAAATTGGTTAGTGCTAATGAAATTTTATTTACTTTAAACTATCATTACAGAAAGGTCATATAAATGTCACCTAGGCATTTTTGGTGAATCACATATAAAGACATGCCAGTCTCTGCTGCAGATACTTTATTTTGCATTTAAAAAAGAACAAAGGATTTTTATGTTTTGGACTTTTTTCTTTCTTTTTGTTTGTTTTCTTGGAATTTGGGTTTCAGAGTGTAGATCTTAAATTTAAAGCCACAATATAGCAATTAAGTTTATTTACAGATTATTAAAGCATTTAACTTAGGAAAGTGCATGAATAATATGCAAGGTACAAAAAATATACCATCTATAGGAAATTTGAAAACAAAAAAATACAGCTTTCGTTGTGGATGTCTGCATTATTATGTATCTATTGAAGTGAACACGCCCAGGATATTCTATAAACAGCTGCACCCGGAAAATTAGGGAAGAGATTGCTGTTATTAGTTTGACTGGCAGTTAATGGATAGCCTAAACAGTGAGCACTAGCTTGTTCCATATAATTTAGCACAATCTTCTCCAGTCTTTAGATAAAGCATGCAATTAGAACTGCAGTGATGGTTGGGAATTTATTTAACATTTTGCACTATATTAGAATTTGATTTTTTAATAAAATTTTCTTGATCATGGAGTGTATTCAAATTTCAAACAGCTTGGAAAGACTGATAAAATTTTGACTTCTCAAAATTTGATTTGAAAATGTAAATGAAAATTTTAATGAGCAATAAATATATAACAGATACAGCAAGTATTTCCAGTAATAGATATTTCATTAAATACTAACTAATATCTTTATTACCCTTTGAAAGTATGTTTCTTCACAGTTTTCTTCTGTTACCATTTGTTGTAAATCTTTTTGTTGGGACGGATCTTTTCTAAAATGATGAAGTATAGAAATCATGGTGGACAAAAATAGCTCAGGTTGCCTTATATATTATAGGAACTATATAATAGCTACTTGTAATGAGAACTGCAAATTAGTAATGGCCTACTTATTTATGGGTGATATATAATAGTTGCTCTTGATTTATTAGCACACAGAATGAAAGTAGTATTTGCAATTCAGATGGAAGAAGTAAGACCTTACAATACAATTTCACGTCTATGCAGTAGTTAACACTATGAAGAACTTTTTTCAATAATCCTCTCTGCCTTACATGAATCCCTGTTGTCAGAATTTTTCTCTCATACAAACTATAACAACACCTTTGTGAGGTAAAATTCACATACCAGGAAATTCATCCTTTTAAAGTGTGCAATTCAGTCATTTTTAGTATATTCAAAAGTGTGCAACCATCACCCTCTAATTTCAAGGCATTTTCATTATCCCAAAAGAAACTTTATACCTATTAGCAGTCACTCCCAGTCTCCCTTTGCCTTGGCTCCTGACAAGTACTATTTTTATACTTATGTGATTTTTTTGTGACGGGCTTCTTTCTTGAACATAATGTTGTCAGGGTTCATTCATATTGTAGCATCTATCATGGTTGGTTGTTTTCCATTATATGAATAATATCACATTTTGTTTATCCATTTATTAGTTCATGAACATTTGAATTGTTTCTGCTTTTTGACTATTACAAATAATGGTCCTGTGAAAGTTAATGTGAGCCCTTTTAATTGGGTATAGATTTTTCACTTTGTTTACATGTTTGCAATGAGTACTGGATCACATAATAACTCTTTGCTTAACCTTTTGAGGAACTGTTAAACTACTTGACTGTACCATTTTACATTCTTATCATCAATGTATGAAGATTCCAATTTCTCTATATCCTCATCAATACTTGTTTTTATATACCTTTTTGATTATTAGCCACCCAAGTGGTTGTGAAATGATAGTTCATTGTGGTTTTGACTTAGGATGTGTGATGACTAATGATGATACATATTTTTTTCTATGTACATAGGCCATTTTTATATCTTCTTTAGGAAATTGTTCAAATCTTTTGTCCTTTTTAAGTTGTGAGATAAACTTGTTCATTAATTTTTTGAGATGTAATTGACATGTAGCTTTATATTGGTTTCTGTTGTACAAAATAATGAGTCAACTATTGTATACATTGTGAAATGATCACCACAGTAAGTCTAGTTAATATCTATCATCTATAGTTACAGTTTTTTATGGGAATTTTTAGGATTGCTCGGTAATTTTCAAATATGTAATGTAGTTATTAACTATGTTACTAATTAGTCATCATGCTATACATTACATCCCCAATAAACTTTTAAGCAGATTATTGAAATAATGTGAAACTAGAGGTATATTTGAAGTATGTATAGTCTGCAATTGAAATTAAAAGTTTTGATTGTTTTAGAGTTGAGATAGGAAAAGTAGTATTAGGAAGATTTCATAGAAAGCTACAATTTAGCTGATGTAAGACATTAACTAGTTTGAAAAGGCTTAATTTAGTGTTCTAGGCAGAAGAAACTCCAACAAGTTTAATAGCCTAAAGGGCATGGCAAAAAAAATAAAGTTGAAAAATGATGGAGTGGATACATGAAGATCATGTACATAGCACTGAGAAGTTTGGACTTGAAACAGTGGCTATTCATTGGGGAGTTTTCGCATAGGAAAGTAGACACATTTATACTAGCCAGGCACATTTGTACTAGCCTAGTGGCAACTGCCACCAGAATTACTTGAAAATTTTAATTATGTTACAGCATAATATGCAGCATCAAATAGTAGTTGAAATTCACTATATAATATTGCCCAGGAAGAACATGAAGAATTAGAAGGATGAAACCTGAAAAACATAAACATTAAAGCACTGTTTAACTAGTTAGAGGCAGACATCACTATTTACCATGTAACCCAGTTGCGTCAGCTAAAAATGAAACTGAGAATATACTCTAGAGAGAGCCAACGTATAATCAAGTGCCTGAACTTCAGAGATATGCTGCCTCAGTATGAATCCCGGCTTTTCACTTCTTAATGGAGTTAATTCATTTCTCTAAGTCTGTTTGTTTTCCTTGCCTATTAAGTAGGAATAATAATTTTTACCTGCTGTATGGTTTGTATGTGAGGTAAATGTGTAAAGTGGAACAATGTCTAAGATGTAAATACTCAGTAAATTTAGGCTGCTATCACTATTACAATTTCATTAGAGGGCGCTTGTGAGAACTAAGACCTGGCAACATGTAAAGTGCTTAGTGAAAGTGCCTGGCACAGATTATGAGAGCTTGTTGATTTTTAGCTGAAAGATGGAATTATGAAACAAAAAAATCAGCAAAAAGGTAAGCGAATTAATATGTAGAAAAGTAGAAAAATTTAAGACTGTGGAATCATAGCAGCTAAAGAAGAGAAAATGTCAAAAAGAATGGCATTACCTATTAAATCATTAAATATTAAAGAGTTTCAAATTCTTCAAAAAGATCTAAAATTCCACTGAATTGAATTTGATAGGATAATTGCTTATGGGAAACAATCTTAGAGGGAAGATGTCAATGGAGGTCTCATTGTTACAGTTACTGCTATTTTATTTCAAGTCATACTTCACATACACCAAAGTGAATTTCAGGTGGATAAAAGAACTAAATGTAAAAAATGAAAAAATGATGAAATAACCACAGAGAAATATAGATGAGCATGTACTTTTTTTTTTTAAACATTTATTTATTTACTTATATAAGCACTGGGTACAGTCAGAAGTGCGGGAGGGTGAGAGAATTCACCAGAGCCAGAGCAGGGAACAGAAGAGGCAGATGGACCGAAATACACTGCTGAGGGGAGCAACGGGCGCGACAGGAGAGGTCTGCGTGCCATGTGGGACCTTCCCCGGTGGCCAGGGATCGAACTGGCGCTGCAAAGGCAGCGGGCAGCTTCGCAGCCCAGGGCTTAACCGCTGAGCCACCAGGGGAGGCCCAGCATGTACTCTTTGAAGAAGAGCTTTGTGTGAAGCAAAAGTAGTAGTTTTAGAAAAGAAATGATTGCTGATAAACTTATTATCAGGGAAATGCAAATGAAAACCACAATGAGATGCCACCTCACACCTCTACACCTGTGAGAATGGCCCATATTAAAAAAACAATAAATGCTGGGAAGGACACTGTGCAAAAGGAACCCTCTTACACTGCTGTTGGTAATGTAAATTGGTCCATCCACTCTGGATTGTGTGGAAGACCCTCAAAACATTACGATCCAGTGATTCCACTCCTAGGAATCTAACATAAAAACATGAATTCTAAAGGAAACCTGTACTCCTATGTTTTTTGCAGCACTATTTACAATAGCCAAGATATGGAAACCACCTAAATGCCCCAAAACAGATGAACGAATCAAGAAGATGTCTGTATATACACAGTGATCAAAAAAGATACACTCATGTCATGTCTGGCGAGATAGATGGAGCTGAAAGTGTTATACTAAGAAAACTAAATGAAAAGGAAAATGATAAATATCGGATGGTTTCACTTATATATAGATTATAGAGAAACTGAATAGAGGGTCAGAAAAAACCCAGGACTCAAAAGCTGACCATAGATCTGAGGCATAACATACAGCAAGTGATAGGGAGGGAGAGTGGTCAAAATGAGAGGGAAGAACACATGGGGCTATGGAGATGGATCACTGGTGCTATGATGGAGGGAGAATTACAAGGACTACACATGAGGGGAGAAATCAAATACCAGGGTGGTATTTGGCGCAAGGGGTTAAGACGCAACCTATGAAGCTATCCACAGCCACTGCAGCACAAGTTAGATCCCTGGCCAGGGAGCTACCCACATGGTACAGCAGACTTCTCCTGACACCCTTTGCTCTCCTCAGCAATGTATTTCAGTCAGTCTGCCTGTTCTATTCCCTACTCTGTCTCTGGTAAATCCTCTCACCCCTCACACCTCTGGCCTGTATACTCCAGTTCTTGTATGCGTAAATAAATCTTAAAAAGAAATCAAATACCAACATTAAGAACAATGTAGAAAAAAATAAAAAAATACCAAAAAATTAAGTGGTTGCTATATTTACAAAAAAGTTTAAATATGTAAACATTCAAGAAAAGTAAAGTTAAAATTACTTGACAATATTTCTCAAAAAGTTAAACATAGAATTTTCATAAGAGTCAGTAATTCCATTCCTAGGTTTATTGCCAAAAATTGAATACAGGGACTCAAACATATACACATATATATGCTCTAGTGTCTGTCTCTCACTCCTCTCTCTCTCTCTCTCTCTCTCTCTCTATATATATATATATATATATATATATATACACACACACACACACATATAATATGTGTGTATATATATATTTATGTTTTTTAAATTTCTATTTTATTATTATTCTCCCTTCAGGTGTAGTCCCCATAAATCTCTCACCACCACCACATCAGTGGTGAACCATTACCATAGTCACTTTGGCTTGTCCCACCCCTCTTTTCACCTTCTTTGCTGTTATCTTTGCTCTTTTCTTCAAATCTACAATCAGCTTGTAAATTTTGGGTTTTTCCTTTGTTCAGCTTTCCTGTGTTTAACCTTAAGTGTAATTATTCAATACTTTTCTTTTGCTTCTGACTTATTTTGGCTAGCATAATCCCTTCCTGGCTCCATCCATTTGCTACAAATGGCATGAGTTTGTCTTTTTTGATCACTGAGTAGTATTTCACTGTGTATATATACACCATATCCTCTTTTTTTTTTTTTAAAGATTATTTATACAAGCACTGGGTACAGTCAGAAGCACGGGAGGGTGAGAGAATTCGCCAGAGCAGGGAGCAGAGCAGGCAGAAGGACCGAAGTACACTGCTGAGGGGAGCAGCGGGCGGCAGGAGAGTTCTGTGAGCCATGTGGGACCCTCCTCCGGTGGCCGGGGAGCAGCCGGGGATCAAACTGGCGCTGCAGAGGCTGCGGGCAGCTTCGCAAGCCAGCGCTCAACCGCTGCGCCACCGGGGAGGCCCACACCATATCCTCTTGATCCATTCATCTGTTTTGGGGCATTTAGTTTGTTTCCATATCTTGGCTATAGTAAATAGTGCTGCAATAAACATAGAAGTACAGGTTTCCTTTAGAATTTGTGTTTTGTTTTCTTTAGGTAGATTCCTAGGAGTGGAATTGTAAGATCACAAGATAGATCCATTTTCAGTATTTTAGGGCCCTCCACACAGCTTTTCATAGTGGCTGGAAAGTCTGCATTTCCACTAGTTGTATAAGAGGGTTCCTTTTTCTCTACATCCTTGCCAGCATTTGCTGTTTCTCACAGGTGTGAGTGGTATCTGGTGGTTTTGATTTGTGTTTTCCTGGTAATTAGTGATGTTGAACATCTTTTCATAGGCCTGTTGGCCATTTGCCTTTCTTCTTTGGAGAAGTGCCTTTTTTAGCTCTTCTACCCATTTTTTGACTTTTTGCTGAGTTTTGTAAGCTCTTTGTAGAACTTTGATATCAGTCCCTTATCAGTTGTATGGTGTGCAAATATTTTCTCCCATTCTGTGGGATGTCTCTTTGTTTTGATTACTGTCTCTCTTGCTGTTCAGCAGCTTTTTAGTTTAATGTAGTCCAGCTGCTTATCTTCTCCTTTTCCTTGCTTCTGGAGAAGAATGCTCAAAGATATTTCTGAGGTTTATGTCATGGAGTGTTTTGCCTATATATCTATGATTTCAGGTCTTTAAGTCTTTTATCCATTTTGAGTTGATTTTTGTGTATAATATGAAATAGTAATCAGATTTCATTCTTTTGCTTGTGTCAGTCCAGTTTTACCAGCATCATTTATTGAAGAGTCTTTCCTTGTTCCAGTGTATATTCTTTGCTCCTCTGACATAGATTAGTTGACAATATATGTGTGGCTTTATATGTGGACTTTCAGTTTAGTTCAATTGGTTTATGTGTCTGGTTCCCAGTACCATGCTATTTTTTTTATTATGGTTTTGTAGTATAGTTTGAAGTCAGAGTATAATACCTCTGTTCTTCCCCCTTTTAGGCAGAAGAGCTTTGACTCTGAGTGTTTTTGTGATTCCATATGAACTTCATCAATACTTGTTCCATTGCTTGGAAGTATGCCATTGAGTTTTTTTTTTTTTTAAAGAGGCATGTGTTTTTATTTATTTATTCGTTTGTTTTGTTTATACATGCACTGGGTACAGTCAGAAGTGCTGGAGGGTGAGAGAATTCACCAGAGCCAGAGCGGGGAGCAGAGCAGGCAGAAGGACGGAAGTACACTGCTGAGGGGAGCAGCGGGGCGGCAGGGGAGGTCTGCGCGCCATGTGGGACCCTCCTCCTGTGGCCGGGGAGCAGCCGGGGATCGAACCCGCGCCTCAGAGGCTGCGGGCAGCTTCGCAACCCAGCGCTCAACCGCTGCGCCACCGGGGAGGCCCGCCATTGAAATTTTTGTTGGAATTAAATCGAATCTATAAATTGCTTTTGGTAGGATGGGCATTTTGATAATGTTAATTCTTTTGATCCTGGAGCAGGAGATCTCTTTCCATTTCTTTGTGTCATTAAATATACACTTGTATGTTAATATTTATTGCAGCTTTATTCCCAGTAACCAAAATGTGGAAGTAATATAAGTATTCATGAAGAGAAGATAGGTATACAAAATGTGCTGTAGGCAAAAAAGAAAAAAAGAAAGTTATTCAGCAATAAAAATGAATGAAATTCGGATACCTTCTAAAATAGGGATGAACCCTGCAAACAGTTTGTTAAGTTAGATAAAACAATATATATTCCATGATCCCACTTAAATGGGCAAATTCATACAGACAGAAAGCAGTAGACTTAGAGGTAAGGGGAAAGTGAAGTTATCGTTTAATGGTACAACTTCTGTGTATAGCAATTTAAGAATATTGTAGATGTAATTAATGCCATCAAATCATACATTTAAAGACGTTTAAAATTGTAATTTGATGTGTGTATGTTACCACAATAAAGCAATATTTTTAATTTTTAACAAGATATTTGATATTATATAAAAAAAGTAAGAATTATCTTACAAATCACTAAAGGTGAAAGATTTTAATGAGGAAAAAAAGACAAAACTAAATTTGCCTTTCATAATAGCTAAATAAATAAATGCAAATTAGGACTATTACACAACATTCTTCAGTTGTTAAAATCTTTCACACATAGGGACACTTTTCTTCTGGTTGCATTGAATTAGTAATAACATTTCTGGAGGGAAGTTTGACTATGTTTATGTCAAGTCTCTTTAAACCTGTAATGTACTTTTAGGAATCTGCCCTGATTTTATATATTATGAGTTTATTTACCAAAACATTTTTCATTTCAGTGGAAAATAAAACCCACTTAAATAAATAATGGGAACCAGGGACTATCACAGGGACTATTTCTCCCTTAAAAATTATAGTTTTGAAAAATGTGCATGGAGGATATGTGAACAACAGATAGTTTTTTACAATGAACATTTACCTTTCATTATTAAAGAACAGAAGGTGGAGAAGTAGAACTTTCTAGGGAAGACTTGGCTTTGATGAACTTAGCTCTGAAGAGGAGTTAGAAACTGAAATTAGAAGCAAAATGTCATAAAAAGAAAAAAAATATTCAAGATGTTTTTATGTTACAGGGAAGAAGTAAATAAAGAACAAAAAGTGTTTTGGTCATTGTAAATGTTGAAAATAGTTTAGAGAGCCTTCATAAGTCTCAGAGCCAGATAATACTGTCTTGCATAAAATCTCTACAAGCTTACTTGTCTTTGACTATATAGAAAGGAAGAGAGAAAGATGAGTGGGAATGTAAAGAAAATACACTTGGTCTTTGAGGATGCTTAGTCATTGAGGTTAGCCTTTGGGGAACTTTGTTGGCAGGGGTTGATTGATGACATTAAATCATATATATTCCTAATTGTTTCTTTGTCTTTTTCCCTTACATTGAGGATATGGCTAATACTTTGTCCAGCTAGATATTTAGTAATGATACTACTTTTGTATCAATGCAGCTGATGATCATAGTTTTGAAAGCAGTAAACTTTATTATTTAATTTTTTTTTTTTTTTTTTTTTTGTATTTAAGGGAGGAAAAGACTGAACAATTGTTGGATTGTAAACAAGAAGTTGAGCAAATGGAAATAGAACTCAAAAGGCTGCAACAAGAGGTTTGTGCCTGGAGTTTTTACTATATGGGACTATATAGTAATTGGAAATTCATTTTTCTCCTTACAGTTTATAACTTTTACTTTCATATTTTATATAAATAAATGAGATTACTCAGGCTTAAAAAGATAGCGATGACTTGTTTAATATTTTTCTGTTCAAAAATGCCTGAGCCAAAACTAGAAATAAAGGTCTTTGAACTTACTTTCTTCTATACCAGTGCTGTGCAAATTTTGCTAAGAGCATGATTGGACTGAGGAAATCCAAGTTTCTTTTTTCATGTACTTCTGTGAACTTGAAAGGTGAAACAACCTTACTGTAAACTGTATTGCTTGTGTATGTATTCGAGTCTGTGCTCTCTGACTATGCGTTACATTAACATATATGACAAATTTTTTAAAATTTTTACTTTCCTTTTTTTTAAACTAGTTTATATTCATGCATACAAGAACCGGGGTACAGGCCAGATGTGCTGGAGGGTGAGAGGATTCACCAGAGACAGAGAGGGCCATAGAATAGGCAGACCGACTGAAATATACTACTTAGGGGAGCAGCGGGTGAGACAGGAGAGATCTGCTGTGCCATGTGGGTATCTCCCTGGCCAGCTGGGATTGAATCCGGCTGCAGTGGACTGCTCCACAGTGCTGTGCTCAACCTCCTGCACTCAACTTTCTGCGCTCAACTTCCTGTGCCACTAGGGAGGCCCAAAAATTTTCACTTTTTTCATAATATGTAAGATGAAACATTTCACTTTCAAAAATTTCTTAATTTTGTTTTTCATCTTTGGGCAAGATTACTTAAGAATTCACTTATTTTAATCAGTCTGTAATATTTCATTTTCATTTGGAGGTATAGTGTATGAGGTCTCAGTAATCCGTAAATGGTAAGGATTGGAGTAAGGCTGGACAATTGTCTATAACTTACTTCCCCTAACCTGCCATTTCTAATACAAGGAGTGCTTCACTTTCAGGGTCATAAACTCAGGCCTTCCTAGATGAATAAGATTAGGAGCTAAACAATTTTTATTTCTAGATATGCTGTGGCTGCTATTTTAGTTTTTGGTAGTAGGGGTTTTTGTATGTATGACCCTCTGAAGCAGTGGTTCTCAATCTTTTTGGTCTTAAGTCTCTTTCCCTATGTTAGAAATTATTGAGGATTGTTTAATGTGGATTATATATACTGTTATTGACTGTACTAGAAACTAAAACTAAGAATTAAAAAATATCAATGAATTTTTTTTTAGTTTTCTGTCTTCATTTTTTAAATTTGTTTTTATTTTATATATTTTTTATATCATTCTTCCTTTTTGTACATTGTGTGCGTTCTCCTTTCAGGTGTAGTCCCTATATAATTCCCACCAATGGTTCACCTATGCACCATCACCATAGTCCCTTGTGCTCTTTCTTCCCCTGTTTTGATACCTCTCCCTCCCCCTCCCCTGCAGAGTATATTTGATTTATAGTTGACTGTTAATTTTGTTTTTTAATTTATTATAATTTTTTTTTCCTGATCCTTATTTAGTTACCCTGCAATCCTCCTATAAGTGAAACCATCTGATATTTCTTTTTCTTTCTGGCTTATTTCTGTGAGCATTGTCCCTCCTAGCTCCATTCATGTTGCAGTGAATGGCATTAGTTTATCTATTTTGATTGCTGGATAATACTCCATTGTGTATATTTACCATATCTTCTTGATCCAGTCATCTAATTTTTGGCATTTGTGTTGTTTCCATATCTTACCTATTATAAATAGTGCTGCAGTAAGCATAGGGGTGCAGGTATCCTTTTGAATTAATGTTTTTGTGTCCTCTGTGTAGATTCCTAGGAGTGGAATTGCTATATCATAATGTAGCTCCATTTTTAGTATTTGAGGAGCCTCTACACAACTTTCCATAATGGTTGGACCAGTTTGCATTCCTACCAACAGTGTAGGAGAATTCCTTTTTCTCCACATCCTTGCCAGCATTTGTTGTTGCCTTATTTGTTTTTTAAAGGTTTATTTATTTATTTATGTATTTATTTATATAAGAACTGGGGTACAGGTCAGAAGCACGGGAGGGTGAGAGAATTTACGAGACACAGAGCGGGGAGCAGAACAGGCAGATGGACTGAAGATACTGCTGAGGGGAGTGGCGGGCGAGGCAGGAGAGGTCAGCCACACCATGTGGGTTTCTCCCTGGCCAGCAGGGAATCAAGCCAGCGCTGCAGAGGCTGCGGATAGCTTCGCAGCACGGCATTCAACCAGTGCACCACTGGGGAGGCCCTGTTGCCTGGTTTTTTAATGTGTGCCATTCCCACTGGTGTAAGGTGATATCTCATTGTGCTTTTGATTTGCATTTCCTGATTATAAGTGATGTTGAACATTTTTTCATATATCTGTTGGCCATTTGCATTTCCTCTTTGGAGAAGAGTCTTTTTAGTTCTTATGCCCATTCTTTGACTGGATTGTTTATTTTGTTTTGTTTAGTCATGTGAGCTCTTTGTAGATCTTTGTGATCAGTCCCTTATCATTTGTATGATAGAAAATTTTCTCTCACTCAGTAGGGTATTTCTTTGTTTTGGTTAGTGTCTCTTTTGCTGTACAGAAGCTGAAAAACAAACTTTAATATATGTCCCCATTTAAAAAAAAAGCATGTAATTTATATACCATAAAATTCACACTGTTAAAGTATACAATTTGTTGTTTTTTTTTTTTCAGTAAATTTATCAAGTTGTGCAAGGAATATCAGTTTGAAAAATATTAAGAATAATAATATTTACTTACATTTAGAATATGAATTTGCTTTCCGATGCTCGTTCAGCAAGAATGTACCGAGATGAATTAGATGCACTTCGGGAGAAGGCAATCAGAGTTGATAAGCTTGAAAGTGAAGTCAGCCGATATAAAGAAAGACTACATGATATTGAATTCTACAAGGCAAGAGTTGAGGTACGTTGTATAATTTTAAACAAACTCATTACAATTTTTTTCTTTAAAAATATTAAATGATTTTTCAAAATGCATTTAAAAGGCAATTAATAAAATGTTGCCTTGAAGGGTTGAGCAAACCATAAATAACTTTGGGTATTTATCTTACTATATTGCTTAGACTTTTAGAAAGGGTTTTCATAACATTATTAATTTTATTGAACTCTGGGGGCTTTTCTTTCATTCCTTCACTTAACATCATAGGTAGGGCAGACTTGTGTCCTTTTCTCACAATCAAAGTATCACCACTAATTTCAAACTTGTTCCTTGACATTCAAGTAAAACGTATTTCTGATAGTTGCTTTACTCAGAATCCTGAATTAGAATCAATGAAGGATATATATGTAAACAAATTAGGAAAAAAAGTTTTCCTCCATGAAGGCTGCAGTTCATTATTACAGAAAGTTGATACTCAACGATTAAGACAGGAGGGTCAGCTGATCAACACAGCAGCAAAGAAACGCTTACTAGTAAGTTCTCCCATAAAAGCAAATAATAGGGAGAAAAAGCAGCAGGTCCTGGAGAGAACCAGCACACATAAGATAAACTGGCGATGCTTATGGGGGAAAAGCACAGTTCTGGAAGGATACTAGGAAACATCTCTGGCACCAACTAGTGATCAGACCAAAATCTTCAACTGCCTGATAGTTGGAAGTCAGGGATTCCATGATCACCCTCAGTCTCTTAGAGGGGGTGGGCCACGCAAACTGGTGAGAAAGGAAAGGAGGCATAGAGCAAGAGTACTGAAGGTCCCATGCGATAACCTGCATTCTGGAACTGTGAGCCGGGCGTGGGATCCGGGACTTGGGACATAACATAGCAGCGGGCACCACAAAGGGCATCACAGATCAGCACTCTTAAAGACACAGAAATAAAAAGAACCAAAAGAGAAAAGGAGAGAGAAGTACAAAGGAAAAGGAATGAGGAAACTCTTAGACAATTGTCAACCATGAAGAAAGGAAATACAAGAGTCATGGGAATTCCAGAAGGTGAGGAGAGAGACAAAGAAATTATGCCAGCGTTTTGGATCCTGGAACTAATTACCAGGATTCAGAATCCACACAACTGCAAGTCCAGCACCACGTGAGCATGGGGGAGACGGCACCCAGGGTGAGCAATAGCCCCTGTGTTAAGGTGCCTCCTCCCCACCTTGGTTTCCCAGAGAACTACTGTGAAAAAGCACAGGTCTGAAAGTGCAGGTCTCTGGCACCACCTAGTGGTCATACCAAAACCACCAAATACCTGATAGTTGGAAGTCAGGGACTCCAAGACTCCCTTCTGGAAATGAGTAAATCCAGATGGAGGGAACCCTCAGGGACAGCACCCAGCAACATAGCTACAGCATCAATACCCTGGTGGAGTTTTGGCCTAACAGTACTGGACTCAGTCTGGTAAACAGTTTCTGAAACCCCTGAAGGAGCACACCAAAGAGATACCTGCCAACCCAGTGGTACAATGCCCCAACACATAGAACTAATTAGAAAACAAACAGCAGGAAGAAGGAAGAATATAAATAACCAAGCAAGCCCTCAGGGGAAAGACACAGCACAGAAAGAAATTCAGTCACCAGAACGCAACAACAATGACATGGAAGAACTTATCAGCTTGCCAGATAGAGAATTTAAAATTGTCATGATTGAAAAACATAAAGAAGACAAAAGGAAAAGGATGAGATGAGAAAAATAATCATTGAACTGAAGAATGAAATTGAGTCCCTTAGGAAGGAAATGACAGTAACGCAATAGATTAAAAGATCAGTGGAGGAGCTAAAGCTCTGGGGAAAGCAATGAAAACAGAATTGATGAAATGGAAGAACAGATCAGCACTCTCAAAGACACAGAAGTAAAAAGAAACAAAAGAGAAAAGGAGAAAGAAGTACAAAGGAAAAGGAATGAGGAAACTCTTTGACAATTGTCAACCATGAAGAAAGGAAATTTGACAAGAGTTATGGGATTTCCAGAAGGTGAGGAGAGAGACAAAGAAATTATGCAAGGAGACAACTGAAGAAAACTTTCCAAGAATGAAAAAGGAGAATATAGAAATACAAGAAGTTGGAAGAACACCAAATTACCACAATGAAAAGAACACTACAGCAAGACACATAATAGTAAAGCTTGTAAGAGTCCAAGACAAGGAAAAAATAATGAAATTGGCAAGGGGGAAGAAAGAGATAACCTACAAAGAAATACCAATCAGGCTGACATCAGACCTCTGAAGAAACACTGAAGGCAAGAAAAGAATGGAGTAACATATTCAACAAACTTCAAGACAACAAATGTCAATCAAAAATACTTAACCCGGAAAAGCTCTCGTCCTATGAAGAAAAAATAAGGACCTTCTCAGATAAACAGAAACTCCAGAAATTCATTACAACCAAACCTTCACTCCAAAATTTTTTACAAGAAGTCTTAAAGTCAAAACCAACAGAGGAATGAATAAGAAGAACAGAATAAAGCAAGAAATAAAATCGCAAAAAGACAAACAAAATGGCAAATACAAATGCCAATGTATCAATAGTACTCTAAATGTACTAAACTCATCATTAAAAAGACACAGACTAGCAGGCTGGATTATAAAACAAAATTTAACCTTCTGCTGCCTCCAGGAAACACATTTAACTACAAAAGATAAACATACTGAAAATAAAAGGTTGGAAAACAATCCTACCAGCAAATAGACCAAAAAAGAAGGCAGGAACAGCTATATTTATATCAGATGAACTAGACTTCAAATTAAAAAAGGTAAAAAGAGACATAGATGGACATTACATTATGATCAAGGGGACAGTACATCAGGAGGATACAACATTCATTAACATATCTTCACCAAGTGAAGGAGCACCAAAATATATTAGACAATTACTATCAGCTCTGAAATCAGACATTAAAGAAAATACATATAATAGTAGGATACTTCAGCACACTACTCTTGCCAATGGACAGATTAACGAGACAACAAATAAAGACACTAGAGCCCTAAATAAAGACATAGGGTTCATGGGGTTAACAGACATCTGTAGGACACTGCACCCAAAAACATCTGAGTACACATTTTTTTGAAGTGCGCACAGATCATTCACCAGAATCAATCACATATTGGGCCACAAGACATGTCAACAGATACATTAAGATGAAAGTCATTCAACTATTTTCTCTGACCATAAAGGCATCAAACTAGAAATAAATCATGAAAACAGGGAACCCTCCCACTTCATGGAGATTGAAATCCACACTACTGGAAGACCACTGGAACAAAGAAGAGATCAAAGAAGAAATTAAAAAATATTTTGAGTTGAACGACAATGAAGACACCAATTTCCAGAATGTATGGGATGCAGCAAAAACGATAGTAGCAGGAAAATATATAGCAATATAGGCTCACATCAAGAAATAAGAAAGAACTCAAAAAAACATTCTAGCCTCACATTTCAAAGAATTAGAAAAAGAACAACAACAACAAAACCCCCTAAAACCCGTAGGCGAAAGGAAAAAATAAAAATCAAAGCAGGGATGAACAAAATAGAAATTAAAAAAAAAATCCTAAAGATCAATGAAACCAAAAATTGGTTCTTCGAAAAAATAGACAACCCTCTAGGCTCACAAAGAAAAAAAAAAAAATGGGACGAAACACATACAAATAGAATCATGAACAAAAGAGGAGAAATCACAACAGACTCGGTTGATATCAAAAGAATAATCAGAGATTTTTATGAACACTTACATGTAAACATAATCGACAATCTAGAAGAGCTGGACAAATTCCTAGAAAATACAATTATCCAAAGCCAGATGAAGAAGAAATGAAGTATCTAAACAGACCAATTACAAGCAGCAAAATTGAAGCAGTAATCAAAACACTCACGAGGGCCTTCCCGGTGGCACAGCGGTTGAGCGCTGGATTGTGAAGCTGCCCGCAGCCTCTGCAGTGCCGGTTCGATCCCCGGCTGCTTCCCAGCCACCGGAGGAGGGTCCCACATGGCACGCAGACCTCTCCTGCCGCCTGCTGCTCCCCTCAGCAGTATACTTTGGTCCTTCTGCCTGCTCTGCTTCCCGCTCTGGTTCTGGTGAATTCTCTCTCACCCTCCTGCGCTTCTGACTGTACACAGTGCTTGTATAATTAAATAAATAAATCTTTGAGAAAAAAAAAAAAAAACACTCACCAAAAACAAAAGCCCAGGCCCAGACGGCATCACAAATGAATTCTACCAAACATTCAGAAATTAATTAGTGCCTATCCTACACAAACTCTTTCAAAAAGTTGAAAAAGAAGGAATACTATCAAATACATTCAATGAAGCCAACATTACACTAATACCAAAACCAAAGACAACACACAAAAAAGAAAATTACAAGCCAGTCTCCCTAATGCAGACTGATGCAAAAATCCTCAACAGAATCCTTGCCAACAGGATCCAACAATGCATCAAAGGGATAATACACCACAATCAAATGGGATTTATCCTAGGGTCACAAAGATGGTTCAACTTATGAAAATTGATTAATATATACCAGCACATCCACAAAAAGAAAAATAAAAACCATATCATCATATCAATAGATCCTGAGAAAGCATTCAACAAAGTTCAACATCCATTTATGAAGAAGGCCCTTGAAATTCTTGGGATAAAAAGAACATACCTTAACATGATAAAAGACATGTACAACAAACCCACAGCCAGTCCACTCTCACCACTGCTCTTCAATATAATACTGGCAATCCTAGCCAGAGCAATAAGGCAAGAAAAACATACAAGGAATCCAACTAGGGAAAGGAGAAGTGAAACTATCACTATTTGCAGACGATATGATAATATGCATAGAGAACCCCAAAAACTCCACAGAAAAACTAATCAAAATAATCAACCAGTTTAGTAAAGAAGCAGTTTACAAAATCAACACACAAAGATCAGTAGTTTTCCTGTACACAATCAATCAATCTGAAGAAGAAGAAATCAAGAAAACCATCCCTTTTATAATTGAAAAAAAAATCAAATACTTGGGAATAAACCTAACAAAAGAGGTGAAGGGCCTATACAAAGAAAATTGTAAAATACTATTAAAAGAAATAGAAGAGACACAAAGAAATGAAAAGCCATCCCCAGCTCATGAATTAGAAGAATTAACAGTATTAAAATGGCCATCTTACCAAAAGCAATTTACAGATTCAATGCTATTCCCATAAAAATCTCAATTACATTCTTCAAAGAAATAGAAAAAATACTGATGAAATTCATATGGAACCACAAAAAGCCACGAAATGCCAAAGCCCTAGTGACCAAAACAAAGGAGAATGGAGGTATCGCACTTCCGAACTTCAAACTGTACTACAAAGTCATAATAATTAAAACTGTGGTACTGGAACAAAAATATACAGAACAATGGAATGGAATAGAAAGCCCAGAAATAAAGACATATGTATATGGAAAACTAATTTTTTTAAAGATTTATTTTATCTATTTATGTAAGCATGGGGTACAGTCAGAAGCATGGGAGGGTGAGAGAACCCACCAGAGCCAGAGTGGGGAACAGAACAGGTAGACTGACGAAACTCACTGCTGAGGGGAGCAGCGGGTGGCAGGAGAGGTCTGTCGCGCTATGTGGGACCCTCCCCAGCAGCCGGGGATTGAACCAGCACTTCAGAGGCTGCGGGCAGCTTCGCATCCCAGCACTCAACCACTGTGCCAGCACGGGAGGCCCTGGACAACTAGTTTTTGACAGAGGAACAAAGAATATGCAGTGGATCAAAGACAGTTTGTTTAATAAATGGTGCTGGGAAAACTGGGCCACCACATGCAAAAGAATGAAACTAGACCACTGCTTTTCACCATGCACAAAAATCAATACAAAATAGAAAAAAGATCTGGACCTGAAAACATGAAATATGTAGAAGAAAATATAGGGAAGACACAACAAAACATACATCTCAGTAACATCTTTAAGGACTCATCACCCATAGCAATGAAAGTCAAGGAAAAGATAAACACCTGGGATTACATCAAACTGAAAAGCTTCTGTACAACAAAGGAGACATTAACCAAAACAAAGAGACACCCCACTGATTGGGAAAAAATCTTGGCACTCCATACAGCTGATAAGGGACTGATCACAAAGATACACAAAGAACTCAGATGACTCAACAAGAACAAAGTAAACAAATGGGCAAGAAATGGGCAGAAGAACTTAAAAGACACTTCTCCAAAGAGAAAATGAAAATGGCCACTATGCATGTGAAAAAATGATGAACATCCCTTATAATCAGGGGGTGCAACTCAAAACCACAATGAGATACCACCTTATACCAGTGAGAATAGCACCTACCAGAAAAACTAGCAACAACAAATGTTGGTGAGGATGTGCAAAAGAAACTCTCCTACATTGCTGGTGGAAGTGCAAACTGTTCCAACCACTATGGACAGCTATATGGAGGTTCCTCAAACTGCTCAAAAATGGAGCTACCAATTGACCCAGCAATTCCACTCCTACGGATCTGCCTAAAGGACACAAAAAAATTGATTCAAAAGAATACCTGTGCCCCTTTGTTTATTGCAGCACTATTTATAATAGGTAAAACCTGGAAACAACCCAAATGCCCAAAACTAGACGACTAGATCAAGAAGATATGGTATATATACACAGTGGAATACTATTAAACAATCAGAAAAGATAAACTAATGCCATTCGCAGCAACATGGATGGAGCTAGAAGAAATTATGCTCAGTGAAATAAGTAAGAAGGAAAAAAAATATTGGGTGGTTTCACTTATAGGAGGAATATACAGAAACCAAAGAAGACATCAAGTGAAAAAAAACAGTAACAATAAAAAACAGAGACATTTTGCAGGGGAGGGAGAGGAAGAGGGGTTGGAGGGAGTGAGGGAGGAGCACAGGGGACTGTGGTGATGGTGCACAGGTGAATTGGTGGTGGAAATTCTGTGGGGACTACACCTAATGGGGGAAGCAAACATTGTTTAAAAATGAACACTGATATTTATATATATATATATATATATATATATATATAAATAAATAAAATTTTTAAAAAGTTGAATTTAACAAAGAATTTGGTAATCTGTAGACAAAAACACTGGGTGATTATTCTCGTATGGAATATAAAGAAACAAATCAAAGGAATAGGCAAAACTAAACCAAAGCATAGAAATCTAACTGTAGAACACATGCTTTCGTAAGGGGTGCAAAGGGATGAAGGGTGCCTAGTGGACTAGTGAAGGGTTACTGTTGCTTTGATGGTGAACATGATGTGCTAACATAAATCTGAAAAGATGTGCATCTATATTCCTAAATCATATACAGTTTTTAAACCATTATTACCTCAATAAAAACTAATACAATTTTTTTAAAAAGCAGAGTTAAAGTTGTGTGTAGGCATTTAATAATTGTGCATGTGTTTTCATTGTTACTTTTCTCTTGCCAGCATTAATGTTACAGATTTATGTAGCTGTTATGTAGCATTATTAAAGATGCTTATGTAAAATATTTATTGATAGAGCCTTGGTTTACGATTAATACTAGTCTTAGACCAAGTTTGGTGTTTTATTTTAAAATCCCCGAATTCTTCCCTTTGAAGTTATAATCTGATAGAAATATTTAAATCAATTCTGATTCTATGGAGATTCATATTAAATATCTGGAATATTTATCCTTGTGACTAAGCAATTTAAATTTACCCAAACAATTTCATGTAAATCATGGTAGTACTACTCATTCTAATATAAGTACTTAGTATTTTGTTTGTATAATTGCTTAAATTCTGGGATTGAAAGGGGGAAATGAGACCAAGCAGACATGAGCTATCCCTGTTACTCATTAGCATTATACTTGCTGATGTTGAGAAAGATAGCTTAATATCTTGTTTTACAGTAAAGAATTTTTACATTACAGAGCTTAAAAAAGTAATAGATGTTAACACATTTGTGATGAATAAAGTCTATTTGAAATATTTTTAGGAATTAAAAGAAGATAATCAAGTTTTATTAGAAACAAAAACCATGTTGGAAGACCAATTAGAAGGAACTCGAGCGCGTTCTGATAAATTACATGAATTAGAAAAAGAGAATTTACAACTGAAGGCTAAATTGCATGATATGGAGATGGTAAGTATTGTAAGGTAAATCAGTTACATGGACTTTAAGGAAAAATATCTAACTTGCATGCAGTTCCCCTTTAATGACAGAGATAGCTAGTATGCTTGAGGTTTTTTTTTTTTAAGAGTTATTTATTTATGCATACAAGAACTGGGGTTCAGGCCAGAGGCGTGGGGGGTCAGAGGATTCACCAGAGACAGAGCGAGGTAAAGAACAGGCAGACTGACTGAAATACACTGCTGAGGGGAGCAGCGGGTGAGTCAGGAGTGGTCTGCTGCACCATGTGGGTTGCTCCCTCGCCGGGGATCGAACTCATGCTGCACAGGCTGTGGATTGCTTCATAGGTTGTAGCTTAACCCCTTCGCCACCAGGGAGGCCCTAGTATGCTTGAGTTTTTAACAGAATAGCAAGCTAAGTAAATTAGAAACTTCCAATTTTATATATATACACACAGGAGTAGTAGAAATTCCTGTTTCTCTTATGTTTAGTATTAATTTCACCTTCTAATTTAAAAAAAGCCCTAATAAGTTATTATATAAACATGCTTATAAAATACAAAAATAAAGCAGTTTGCTAAAATTGAGCATTGGGTCAGAATTCTTTTGTTATATCACTGACCAATACGTTGCCTATGAGGAAGAGCTTTCACAGTTTCTCCAAAGATCACTCGAAAAGGATGTCACACTGATCAGTATAAAGACCATCAGTAATTATTATAGTAGCTGATTATTACCTTCAAAATGAAAATTTTAAGTATTCAAAGTTTACCTCATTCAGTTTCTGATAATAATTACATGTACTTGAAATCATACTGTTTCTTAGCTTTGTGTTTTCTCCCTATTTCTTGCCAATAAAAAAAAGGAACGTGATATGGATAGAAAAAAAATTGAAGAATTGATGGAAGAAAATATGACTTTGGAAATGGCACAGAAACAAAGTATGGATGAGTCATTACATCTTGGCTGGGAGCTGGAACAGATATCCAGAACTAGTGAAATTGCTGAAGGTATTCACAGATTGTTTTATTTAAATGGATAAATGAATTCAAAGTTGTATTTATGCATATGTTTCTGGATATTTTATTGCAATCCTTTAGTTTACTCAGTTGGAAATGTCTCAGAAAACCAGCTGTCTGTCTAAATTTTATAAGGTAATATGTATTTTCACTTCTTGCATCCTTTGCATGTTCTACAGTTCAACTTTTTGAGTATAGTGTTGGGTTGTTGGTAAAGTCATGGTGCATTTTTGCAACAGATGGCACTAGTTCACTTTTGGAAATATTTGAGGCATTCACATCTGTGTTATTGCTAGTCATTTAACAGTTGACAGTTCTAGCTTCATTCTAAAGAAAGGAATGATTTGGTTGAGTTTTGCAGATTTTATGAGTTTGAAGATGGAGGACCAAACCGCATTTTTGCCATATTTTAATGTTTTATTTTCGTAAAGGGAAGAACGTATGTCAAGCTTGTGAAAAGTTGCATAATATTTTCAGTTACAATGCTCTAGAACATCACTACCAGCGACGGCTCATGAAATTCCGTGCTGGTGATTTTGATCTCAATGATATTCCTTGGTCAGAGAGGCCCACCAAGCTTGATGATGACAAAAATAAAGGCATTGATCGTGTCAAACCTAGGTTACAAAACACGAGAGATTGCAGAAATATTGAAATTCCATCATTCAGATGTTCATGCCTAACCTGAAAAGGCTGAAATATGTAAGCAAGCTTGATATTTGGTTTCCTCATGAACTTAAAGATATTCATTTGACGGCGTATGTAAACATCAGCAATAGGCTCATTAAATGTGAGGAAAATGATCCCTTTTTTTGAAGTGACTGATAGATAGCTGGTGATGAGAAGGAGACTGTTTACTACAATGTGGTGCACAAATGGTCTTGGTCCCGACGTGATTTTTCGCCTCAAGGATATCACATGCAGATATTCATCAGAGGAAGGTTATGCTCTCAGTCTGGTGGGATTTTAAAGGTGCCATTTTTCCCGAGCTCCTGCCAAGGAACCAAGCAATCAATTAAGTGTGTATTGTCGGCAATTGGACAGTTTGAATGAAACATCATTCAGAAACATCCAGAGATGTTAACAAACATCGTTAATCGTAAGGGAGTCGTGTTACCTCATGATGATGCGAGACCACATGCAAGTTTGATCACCTGTCAGAAATTATTGGAGCTTGGATTGGATGTGTTGTCACATCCACCATACTTGCCTGACCTTGCACCATCAGACTTCCACTTGTTTTGTTTTCTTCAAAACTCCTTGCATGGTTGTAATGTTCAATTCAGATGAGGCTGTAAATCAGCACCTGGTTCAGTTTATCACCAATAAAGACAGGTCCTTCTATGAAATAGGAATTATGAAGCTCACTGAAAGATGGCAAAAGGTTGTCAAACAAAACAGGCAGTATATCATTGATTGATCTTTGTTCTCTTTATAAATAAATGGCCTTAGAAAAATAGCAAAAATGCGTCCTGACTTTTCCAACAGGATAATAGCCACTTTAATTAGTTGTTTAGAGACTGTTTCATGTTAATGTCACAAGAAGTTGAAACACGTTTATTTATTTGCTTGCAGAAATATAGCCATCTACTAAATATAAAAGTTCTATTAATGATCAGCATGTTCTTTGACTATAGTCAAACCAAAACAGTAAGTCAAAACAGTGGGAAGATTCTTAGGTGAGCTTACAGCCAGAATAAAGCAAGTTAATCATCTTCTTGAATACTTTTGTCAATATATAAAATCTCAATTTTATGATTTAAATACCAACCAGTTCAGTTACGCATTGAAAAGAATATAAATACCCAACCCTAATACATATTTAACTTTATCCTAAAAAAAAGACTCTATATTGACTTGTCTACTTTCTTAATACTGGGCATATACATTCAACACAGTTGTGGTTATAGGATTATGTATGCTTATACTGGTATACTTTATTGAAATTAAACTCAAGTCATATTTACTTGAATTAGATTGGGTCCATAATTCCTCAGCTACCCAGTTTTAGATTATTCTATCTGCATTCCTTCCTTTAGCAGGTATTTATTAAAACCTAAGATGTGTAAAAATAATAAACTAGGCCTTGAGTATATAGTGATGAGGTAGACATAAACTGTAAGAGTACTTATAGTCTGATGTTTACAGAATAATTACTTATGTAGATGACTCGTCATATTTATTGCCATTAGACTTTTCATAATTTTACTACTGATAGGTTACTTCCAAATTCTGTGGCACAATGTAAATTCCCTATTAATAGTAAGTGATGCTATTCAGCCAATGAACTTGCTGAGATGTGTTTCTTACAATATTTATAGAAATTTTTTATTGTTTTCCTTCTGAATTGAATTACAAAGAAAGCAATTTAGGCTTAAATAATTGTTAATACTAAAATAGTTAGAATTATACTGTTAAGAGTTTACATGGGAGTCAATAATTGTTGGACATAGGGTTGCTGTGAGGATTGAATTTGTTGATGTCAACTATTATTATATATAATTTTATTGTTATAGTGTTAACTATTATCATCATCACTATATCATTTGTTTTGTAGTTGATCTTAGCTGGTGTAATAAGTCTGACTTCATTTTAATGTAGTTTTGGGTGTTTTTTTTTTTAAAGTTATATAATCTTGTAAAAATTGTGTAAAATGATGAGAAATATAAAGGAGGAAATTAAAGTTGCTTAATACATTTTAAGTTGCTTTTACATTTTAGAATGTTTGCTTTCAGAATTTTTCTGTACACTCATAGGTATTTTGGATGTCATCAGATCAGTGTGAATTTACCATTCAAGTTTCTTTTTTAACCTAAGTTTACAGCATAGGTATTCTGCCATTTGTTAAAAATGTGTCATAAGCATTTTAATTTTTCATAACCTGACCTGAAGTCTTCTTTAAACCAGTCATAGTATTGAAAGTATTGTTAAGATATCTCAATGTATTGTAGCCTGATTTTGTTTATTTGAAATTCATGCCCACACATTATGAATAGAGTTTTATTAAAGAATACTTGGACAAATTTAAAAAATTAAAAATTTAATGACATTATAAATAACTTCTGGGTATGTAATTTACTGTATCATGATTATAGTTAATTAACACTGTATTGTGTATGGAAGTTAATAATAATATATTGTTAGATGGAAGTTGCAGACAGTAGAGCTTTAAAGTTCTCAGCATAGGGGAAAACATTGTAACTGTATGGCGATGGATGTTAACTAGACTTATTTTGGTGATCATTTTGCAGTATACATATCAAATCATTTTGTTGTATTCTTTGAAACAAATGATATATGTAGTTATATCATTAAAAAAATAAAAACTGATTTTCCAGTATACCAGCTTTTAATTAAAAGATTAATAATAAAATGCTGATTAGAACAAAAGCTGAAAATAAGGATGGAGGCTTTCTTAAAATCTGGTGGATACTTCATAGTATCTTAATTTTTAAGAGAACATACGCTTGTGGGCCATATTAGTTTTACATATATATGTGTGTATTTTAAAAAATGTCATGGTAGTAGAAGTCTACTTGGATGATTTTCTTTGGCAAAATGGAGTACAATTTACTCTTCACACTTAACCAGAGATTACTGATTTAGAGAAACTCTGACTTTTTTGAGATGACCAATCTTTAATGTCAGGATATTTCCCCTTAAACTGTCTTTCTTTAATTTTTGAAGGTATAGCATAGACATGCTTTACACTTACTATTTGAGTCACACAGTGACTGTGTAAGACACATAGGGCAATAACTGTATTTTATACACGTCTCCTAAGATTTGCTGAAGTTAAATTGACTTGGGCATTGCCAAGTAGTTAATTTCTCTAATTAAAACTGAAATTCAGTCTATATTCTTCAGCCTATATTTTGTATGCTTGTTTTCCATTAAAATGCTTATGGATGAATTGAAAATTCAAGATTTACCTATTATCTGTCTTTTAAAATAAATTTTATAAAACTAAGGATCATGTGATATAGTGTACTGATACTTAATATTTTTAAAATAATGAATGAACATAGTTTTATCACTGACATTTTTTTAATAGCGCCACAAAAATCCTTGGGTCATGAGGTAAATGAGTTGACCTCAAGTCGGTTATTAAAGTTAGAGATGGAAAACCAGAGTTTGGCAAAAACTGTAGAAGAACTTCGGAGTGCTGTGGATTCTACAGAAGGCAATACTTCCAAAATTCTAAAAATTGAAAAGGAAAATCAAAGACTAAATAAAAAGGTAAACAAAAATTAATAATGAATGTAATGTTAAATACGTGTATATATAAATAAGTAGCACTGTGGTATAACATTTTTTTAGTATCTAATGAACCATCAATATTATTTTCCCAATATTATTATGTAAATTTTCAAGCATAAACAAATGTAAAGTTAGCGAATTCCTTTACTAGTTCAACTTCAACAATTATTAACCCACAACCAATCTTATTATCTCTACTCCTGTCTGTTCTTCCCAAGGCCACTAGATGATTTTGAAATGAATCCTGGACATGGTGGTTTTCACCTTAAATATCTCATTACTTAAGACCCAAAAATTAAGGAATTAGGAAAAAACAGTGACTATCACAAACATTAATTTTAAAATTAATAATTTTGTGAGCATTTTCATTTCTATTATTGCTATCATTTTTTACATTTTGTTTGAACCTAAGTCCAAATAAGATCAGTACATTCAATCAATTGATATTTCCCTTAAGTCTCTTTTAGTCTATAGTATACTCTTTTTTTGCCTAGCAGTTTCTCTGTTAAAGAAACTAGGTTGTCTAATAGACAATAATTTCCCCACGTCTAGGATTTGCTGATTGCATCCTTTTTGTGTTACTCAGTGTGTTCTTCTGTCCCCTGTATTTCTCAGCTTCAAATTGAGTGTTTGCTAAAAGTATTCATGAAGAGTGTGTACTTCAATAAGGAGACTTGTATCTGGTTGTTTCTTTTTTTGTGATGTTATCTTGGAAAATCGTGTACTTAGGTCCATTAATTTATCAGAGGCGGCCAAAATCCTGATGTTCTAATTATATTATCCCTTCTTAATTTGGTAGTTGCAGTATTTCTACAAAGAAATACTGGATTTTAAAAGCTATTCATTAAAAAAAAACCAACAAACACCAATTTTGGTTATTCTGAGCAGCAACTTATTTTAAAAAGTAGTATGAATGTCTGATTCTTTCCATTATTTGCAAGTTTCCCACAGTGAATTTATTCTCATAATTACCCTCCTGCCCAAGAAATGAATGAGTTTGTTTGTCTTAACATTATGAACTTTTGAATTTAAAAAATATTTGAAGTCTATTAGTGCACTGTCTTAGATTTTAAGATTCTTCCTGAATCGTTATGACAACATTAACACTCCTTGAGATCTTTCTTGCTTTCTGCTGTGAGAAAATATTCTGGGCTCTCTTACTAAACATTCTTGTCCCAGACTGGAAAGAGCCATTTCTCCAAAATCACCTTTCTTCCTTTGTGGAAAATAGTATTTAGAGAACATATTTAAGCGTTTTGAAACATGAATTTTTAACTAGGAAATAGTTGAACAAAAATAGTCTCTCATTGTGGGACAATTTTACCAAAAAAACTTATTTTTGCCCATCTTTTTACATACAGAAATTCACATTTAAGTAGTCATATAACAACAGTGATTTTTTTTTTTTAAAGATTTATTTATTTATTTATTTATTTATTTATTTATTTATTTATTTATTTATACAAGCGCTGGGCACAGTCAGAAGCGCGGGAGGGTGAGAGAATTCACCAGAGCCAGAGTGGGGAACAGAACAGGCAGACTGACAAAGTACACTGCTGAGGGGAGCAGCAGGCGGCAGGAGAGGTCTGCGCGCCATGTGGGACCCTCTCCTTGCAGCCGGGGATCGAACCGGCGCTGCAGAGGCTGTGGGCAGCTTCGCAACCCAGAGCTCAACCACTGCGCCACCGGGGAGGCCCAGTGATTTTTTTTTAATCAGAAACACTTCTCTAAAATTTCTTCTTGCCAAAATTTGCTTTCACATTATTTCCATTTCTTACTCACTATGAGCAATATTACATTAAACTTGTACATTTGTTCTTGTGAATTAGTTTATACTTCTCTGTGTAGTTAGCCATATCTCCTTTTTCCCTTGAGAAATTGAGTTTCTAGACTTCATTATGAAAATATCTCTAGCTTTCCATCAGTGGTTTTGAACTATTGTATGTATCAAATCACCTGTCAGGCTTGTTAAAATAGATTTCTGAACCCATGTCCAGAGTTTCTGATTTAATTGGTCTGGAGTGGAGGCTAAGAATTTTCATTTTTGAGAAGTTCCAAGGTGGTTCACCTTGCTCTCTGCCCCATGATTGAAAACCACTGCCTTAGGTATTATGAATAGTCTCCCTGTTTTCTTGCAATATCTTTACTGTTTTAAAACATTTTGACAATATCTTAATCCATTAAAGAAATAATCTTAACAAATATTTGACAGTCATCGTAGTAGCTATTTATAATTGGGAACAGTTTCCTTTTGGTTGCCATTATAATTGAATATATTATATTTCCATTTTGATATTAGTTCTGAAGTCTAATTAGTAAATTCTTAATGATTCTATAGCAATTACTTATATGAAAATGTCTTGTAAATTCAGTGTTCCATTTGACTCCCTCTGATGTAAAATGACAATGAGTAATTAAATAACATTCATATGTGTCAGTTTTATAATGGGAGAACCAGATTAGTAGCTAAGAGTTAAAAACTTTGTGAATATGCACATTAATATTAAATTTGAATTAATGGTTAATATATGTGATTTGATGCTTTTAAGATGTTACTGAATGGCTGTTTAACTTGTGTGTTTATTTTCTATTATTATCAAAATAGAAAATTTAAACTTGCTTTTTTAAGATTTAAAATTCTAAGAGTTCACTGTTGATATAATCATTTAAGGAATATTTAAACTTGAAGTAGAATATTTTATGTAGCTAGACCTTTTATTATCTGGCTTGAACATTTTATTAGAATAATGGGAAAATGAATGATTTGGAATATTTTGAACATGGATTAGCTACTTTATAACCACATGGATGAGCTACTTATAACCACATTATTATATCTTCAGAATGTATAAATTAAAATAATTTAAAACTGGATTATAAGTATATGCCCAAGTTTTATTCAGACCTTTTTTCTTGGTATTTATTCATCCCTTTTTCCTTTCCTCTTTTATTTTAAAACCAGTTCTTTTTGTTTCCTCTTTTAACTTATATCACCATTTCTTTTTTTTTTTTTGTCAGATGTTCACCAGGGGAGGCCTGAGCTTTATTTTTAAATTCATATGAATTTCATCAGTATTTGCCCTATTTCTTTAAAGAATATGTTTGAGATTTTTTTATTGGATTGTATTGAATCTGTAAATTGCTTTAGGTAGGATGGCAATTTTGATAATGTTAATCCTTCCAATCCATAAGCAGGAATGTTTTCCATTTCTTTGTGTCTTCTATTTCTTTTATCAAATTTTGTATTTTTCTTTTTTTTTTGTATGTAAGAATGTGCGTAGATTTTTATTTCATTGAAATAACATGTTTTTTTTATTTTTTTAATAATAAATTTTATTTTTATATTCCCCATACAATTGCAACCCCCCCATTCTGACCCCAATCCTCCCCTCCCGCCCCCCACCCCCCAAAAAGTGTCTCTGGATCATAGTTTTTTGTTGATTTTGATTTTCACTTTCTTGTAGTTATTTATTTTCCTGGTCCCTTATTTAAGTTTTCTAGATTCCTGCTATGACTGAGACCATCCGGTATTTTTCTTTTTCTTTCTGGCTTATTTCGCTGAGCGTGATCCCTTCCAGTGCCATCCATGTTGCTGCAAATTGCATGTGTTTATCTTTTTTGAATGCTGAGTAATATTCCATGGATATCACCATTTCTTATCTTTTCCTTCATGTTTTTATAGTCTGTTTTTCTTTCTTGTTCATTGACATTCCTTGACTGTAATTAAAATTTTATTTTACAATTCCTCTCACTCCAAGGAAATTTTCCAATAAGATTGAAATAATAATCTCCTTATAGCACACAATTTTCATATATTTAGTTGAATTTGTCTTTGCATTTAGAAGTAGTTTACCCTTAAAGATGTAGAGGATAAGATAGTTATGTCTGCAAATTTTACACAGTTGTCAAAGTTAGCATGAATTATTACTTGAATTTTAATACTAAATTATTAAGTTTTACGATTTATGTATAAAATTATTTTTATCCATTATTCATGATTATACTTTGTTTTGACATATTTCTTCATTGGAAAATATTTCATCCTATTTTTTTTTGTGATTTAATTTTCTCCAGGTTGAAATTCTGGAAAATGAGGTTATTCAAGAGAAGCAAAGTCTTCAGAATTGTCAGAATTTAAGCAAGGATCTAATGAAGGAGAAAGCTCAACTTGAAAAAACAGTTGAAACTCTGAGAGAAAATTCAGAGAGACAGGTTCATAAATATCCTATTAAATAATATATCTTAAAATTTATTAGCAAAAGTTATTTTAAAAAGTGACACTGAGGGAAATATCTCAAATTTTGTAGATTTCAAAATAACAGTGGTTTTACCTCATTTTCTTTTTTTTAAGATTTATTTTTATTTATTTACGCATATAAGAATTGGGGTGTGAGCCAGAGGTGGGGGGGGGCTGTGAGAGGATTCACCAGAGACAGAGTGGAGAGCATAACACGCGGGTCTACTGAAATGCACTGCTGAGGAGAGCAGTGGATGAGACAGGAGTGGTCTGCTGTGCCATGTGGATTAGCTCTCTTGACCAGGGATTGAACTTGTGCTGCAGTGGCTGCCAATAGCTTGATAGTGCTGAGACTTAACCCCTTGTGCCACCAGGGGAGCCCCCTATTTTACCGTGTTTTCTATCCCTTATGTTTTTGGAAAGTTTAGGATTTTTTAATTGTATTCTTAATAATTAGCCTAGTCTAAAATTTCACAGTCCCACTGTTTTCACATGTCTGTGTAATGAGGATACAGTTTCTAAAGTCTCTGAGTGGAGTTGGGAGAAACACAGCTGTACTCTAACTACACTAAAGAGTAAGAAGTGGCAGCAGCAGTTATCTTAAGACACTATTATACTTGTTTTCAACTGTTTATTGGTTATGTCAGTGTATGCTTAAAGAAACTGAGAACTGGCTAAATTAAGTCATTTGCTACCTTTAAGTTTCTTTTTATTTTTTTGAAATAAATTTTGCTGTTTTAGATTATCTTGATGAAGTCCTCAGGCCACCTGTGAATTTGCAGATTTTTATAGAACTATACAAAAAAACTCTTAGAGCTAAATATGAACTTGTCTGTACTTTTACAAGGTTCTCAAATTGTTTAATGCACCTAATTTTGAGGAAAGTATTATATTGAGTCATGCTTATAAATTTGTTTGATTAGTTCATAATTGTACCAGGGGACTTGTTATTTTGATGTTTCCAAATTTGAATTCTTTTGAAGAATACACACACACATAGTACCCATATAATATAGCAAATAGTTACTGATGTCTCACTGCAAAATTTAATGACAATAAAGACTTATATTCTCAAGGAGATATGCTGTATTCATATTCAAAACATGTAGTTATGATGATCTGAAGATCATTTTGATTATATTGAATACATCTCTCTTAATGATTCCATTAATGTTATCAACTCCCTAAAGACACATACTTTACAACATGGCAGTGAATATCAGAGTTTAAAATAGTCATATTGGTAGTTTTTTATATTTTGATTTACCTGTTAGCTTTTGGAAGGGAAACTATGTGATTTAAAAGATTTAACTCTTCATATGTTAATTTTTTTATGCTCTTTCTTTTTTTGAATTAGATTAAAATGTTGGAACAGGAAAATGAACATCTGAATCACACTGTGTCTTCCTTAAGGCAGCGGTCCCAAATAAGTGCTGAAGCAAGAGTGAAAGACATTGAAAAAGAAAATAAAATTCTCCATGAGTCTATCAAAGAAACAAGTAGCAAAATCAGCAAGATAGAATTTGAAAAAAGACAAATTAGGAAAGAATTGGAACATTATAAGGAAAAAGGAGAACGAGCAGAAGAACTTGAAAATGAGTTGCATCGTCTTGAAAAAGAAAATGAATTGTTGCAGAAAAAGATAACCAATTTAAAAATTACTTGTGAAAAAACTGATGCCTTAGAACAAGAAAATTCAGAGCTAGAAAGAGAAAATAGGAAATTAAAAAAAACATTGGATAGCTTTAAAAACCTTACTTTTCAGTTAGAATCCCTAGAAAAAGAGAATTCCCAACTTGATGAGGAAAACTTAGAACTTCGAAGAAATGTGGAATCTTTGAAGTGTGCAAGCATGAAAATGGCTCAGTTACAATTAGAAAATAAAGAACTAGAAAGTGAAAAAGAGCAACTTAAGAAGGGTTTAGAACTCATGAAAGCATCTTTTAAGAAAACAGAACGCTTAGAAGTTAGCTACCAAGGTTTAGATACGGAAAATCAAAGGTTACAGAAAGCCCTAGAAAATAGCAATAAAAAAATTCAACAGTTAGAGAGTGAACTACAAGACTTAGAGATGGAAAATCAAACATTGCAAAAAAACCTAGAAGAGTTAAAAATATCTAGCAAAAGACTAGAACAGCTGGAAAAAGAGAACAGATCATTAGAACAAGAGACTTCTCAACTGGAAAAGGATAAGAAACAACTGGAGAAGGAAAATAAGAGACTTCGACAACAAGCAGAAATAAAAGATACCACATTAGAAGAAAATAATGTGAAAATTGGAAACCTGGAAAAAGAAAACAAAACTCTATTTAGAGAGATTGGTATTTATAAAGAATCCTGTGTTCGCCTGAAAGAATTAGAGAAAGAAAATAAAGAGCTTGTAAAAAGAGCCACTATTGATATAAAAACCTTGGTTACTTTACGTGAGGTAAATATGTTCCCTAATTCAAGGGAAATATTTTTTATATTTTCAACTCAAGTTTTAAGTTTTTGTGGAACCCATCATTTGCATTATCTGTTCATAGTTTTGTTTATTTTTTAAAGATTTATTTATTTATGCATGTAAGAGCTGGGATACAGGCCAGAGAAGCAGGGGGTGAGGGGACTCACCAGAGACAGTGGGGAACAGAACAGGCAGACTGACTGAAATACACTACTGAGGGGAGCAGCGGGTAAGACAGAAGAGGTCTGCTGTGTCATGTGGGTTTCTCCCTGGCCAGTCAGGCCAGGGATCGAACTCGTGCTGCAGACTGTGAATTACTGCATAGTGCAGTGCTTAACCCCTTGCGCCACCAGGGAGGCCCTATTTATGGTTTAAAGTAGACATTTGGAATTAGAACTAAAACACTTAATTTCCTACTTTTGTTAAACTAAAACGTAGATATATGTTTTTGAGCTTATTGTAGTAATAAGGTTTTTTTTTTTAAATTTTATTTTTATATTCCCCATACAATTACAACCCCCTTATTTTGACTCCAAGCCCTCCTTTCCCCACCCCCCAACCCCCATAGAGTGTCTCTGGTTCATAGTTGTTTGTTGATTTTGATTTTCACTTTCTTATAGTTATTCTTTTTCCTGGTCCCTTATTTAAGTTTTCTAGATACCTGCTATGAGTGAGACCATATGGTATTTTTCTTTTTCTTTCTGGCTTATTTTGCCGAGCATGATCCCTTCCAGCTCCATCCATGTTGCTGCAAATTGCATGTGTTTATCTTTTTTGAATGCTGAGTAATATTCCATGGTGTATATGTACCACATCTTGATCCAGTCATCTATTTTTGGGCATTTGGGTTGATTCCAAATCTTAGCTATTGTAAATAGTGCTGCTATAAACATAGGGGTGCAGGTGCTCTTTGGAATTAATGTTTCTGTGTCCTTTGGGTAAATACCTAGGAGTAGAATTGCTGGATCTTATGGAACCTCTATGTTTAGTAGGTCCAGAAATCTCCACACAGCTCTCTATAATGGTTGGACCAGTTTGCACTCCCACCAACAGTGCAGGAGAGTTCCTTTTTCTCCACAACCTTGCCAACATTTGTTGTTGCTAGTTTTTTTAATATGTGCCATTCTCACTGGTGTAAGGTGATATCTCATTGTAGTTTTGATTTGCATTTCTCTGATTACAAGTGATGTTGAACATTTTTTCATATGCCTGTTGGTCATTTGCATTTCCTCTTTTTTTTTTTTTTTTTTTAGTAAAACTTTTATTCTAAAACACAAAAAAAGACAATATAAGGAGGAAAAAAGTTTACAGTAAGTTCCTTTAAGTACACAGTTCAAAAATCCTAAGGGAAATAGAAGAGTAAACCAAATACAGAAAGACAAGTTGGAACCTGTTGCACAAATGTAAGGGTGGTTTAACACAAGGATACCTTAATATACTTTACAACAAATACTAAAAGTCAAAAACTATGTGATATCATAAAATCAGAGCAATATATAAAATTAAGTATCATTAATAACTTTAAAAAGACTCAGAAAATGAGAAACAGATGGGAACTTCCATAATTCAATAAATATTTTCCAAATATCTGTAATATCGTAAAAGAGAAACCTCAGAAGTGTGCCCTTTAAGACAGGAACAAGGGGCACAGTCTCTGGACTCAACATTGCACACAAGCTCCTAGCTGGAGCTAGGGACAAATTATTAGAAATTAGGAGCAAAGCTGCCAGACAAAAGATTTTCTCTAATCATTTGCCTATTCAATCTCTTTCCCACTCTTGGCAGGTAATCCTATCATTTCTAAACAATGCCTATTTTATTTCTTCTTTTTATTTTATTTTTTTTAATTTAAATAATAAATTTTATTTTTATATTCCGCCATACAATTGCAAACACCCCATTCTGACCCCAATCCCTCCCCTCCCACCCCCCATCCCCCAAAAAGTGTCTCTGGTTCATAGTTTTTTGTTGATTTTGATTTTCACTTTCTTATATTCATTTTCCTGGTCCCTTATTTAAGTTTTCTAGATTCCTGCTATGAGTGAGACCATCCGGTATTTTTCTTTTTCTTTTTGGCTTATTTTGCTGAGCATGATCCCTTCCAACGCCATCCATGTTGCTGCAAATTGCATGTGTTTATCTTTTTTGAATGCTGAGTAATATTCCATGGTGTATATGTACCACATCTTCTTGATCCAGTCATCTATTTTTGGGCATTTGGGCTGTTTCCAAAGCTTAGCTATTGTAAACAGTGGTGCTATAAACATAGGGGTGCAGGTGTTCTTTGGAATTGATGTTTCTGTGTCCTTTGGGTAAATACCTAGGAGTGGAATTGCTGGATCATATGGAAGCTCTATGTTTAGTAGGTCCAGAAATCTCCACACAGCTCTCCATAGTGGTTGGATCAATTTGCACTCCCACCAACAGTGCAGGAGAGTTCCTTTTTCTCCACACCCTCGCCAACATTTGTTGTTGCTAGTTTTTTTAATATGTGCCATTCTCACTGGTGTAAGATGGTATCTCATGGTAGTTTTGATTTGCATTTCCCTGATTACAAGTGATGTTGAACATTTTTTCATATGTCTGTTGGCCATTTGCATTTCCTCTTCAGAGAAGTTTCTTTTTAGCTCTTCTGCCCATTTTTTGACTGGATTATTTTCTTTGTTGTTGCTGAGTCTCATCAGCTCTTTGCAGATTTTTGTGATCAGTCCTTTATCATAGTGTTGGGTGCAAAAATGTTCTCCCAGTTGGTGGGGTTTCTCTTTGTTTTTGTTATTGTCTCTTTTGCTGTGCAGAAGCTCTTTAATTTGATGTAGTCCCAGCTGTTTATCTTTGCCTTCACTATCACTGCTTTGGGTGATGTGTCTGTAAAGATGTCTTTGATGTGCAAATCCCGTAGTGTTTCGCCTATATTTCCTTCTGTGTATTTTATGATTTCAGGTCCTATGTCTAGTTCTTTAATCCATTTTGAGTTGATTTTTGTGTATGGTGTGAGGTAGTGGTCAAGCTTCATTCTTTTGCATGTAGCGACCCAGTTTTCCCAGCACCATTTATTGAACAAACTTTCTTTGCTCCAATGCATAGTCTTTGCTCCTTTGTCAAAGATTAGTTGCCCATAAATCTGTGGGTTTATTTCTGGATTTTCTATTCGATTCCATTGGTCTGTATGTCTGTTCTTGTTCCAATACCATGCAGTTTTGATGATTATGGCTTTGTAGTATAGTTTGAAGTCTGGGAGTGTGATGCCTCCATTTCCTTCTTTTTTTTTTTCAGTAGAGCTTTGGCTATTCGGGGTTTTTGGTGATTCCATATGAATTTCATCAATAATTGTTCTATTTCTTTGAAGAATGACATTGAAATTTTGATTGGAATAGCATTGAATCTGTATATTGCTTTTGGTAGGATGGCCATTTTAATGTTTATTCTTCCAATCCATGAGCAGGGGATGTCTTTCCATTTCTTTGTGTCTTCTTCTATTTCTTTTAACAGTGTTTTATAGTTTTCTTTGTATAGGTCCTTTACCTCTTTTGTTAGATTTATTCCCAAATATTTGATTTTTTTTTGTTTCGATAATAAAAGGGATGGTTTTTTTTGATTTCTTCTTCTTCAGATTTATTGTTTGTGTATAGGAAGGCTACTGACTTTTGCGTGTTGATTTTGTATCCTGCCACTTTACTGAATTGATTGATGAGTTGAATTAGTTTTTCTGTGGAGATTTTGGGGTTCTCTATGTATATTATCATATCATCTGCAAATAGTGATAGTTTGACTTCTTCTTTTCCTATTTGGATTCCTTGTATGTCTTTTTCTTGTCTTATTGCTCTGGCTAGGACTGCCAGTATTATATTGAAAAGCAGTGGTGAGAGTGGACATCCTTGTCTTGTTCCGGATCTTAATGGAATTGCTTTCAGCTTTTCACCATTGAGAATGATACTGGCTGTTGGCTTGTCATAGATGGCCTTTATGATGTTGAGGTATGTTCCTTGTATCCCAAGAATTTCAAGGGCTTTTATCATGAATGGGTGTTGCACTTTGTCGAAACCTTTCTCAGCACCTATTGATATTATCATATGGTTTTTATATTTCTTTTTGTTGATGTGTTGGATAACATTGATTGATTTTCGGATGTTAAACCATCCTTGTGTCCCTGGAATGAATCCAACTTGGTCGTGGTGAATTATCTTATGGATACATTGTTGGATTCTGATAGCTAAAATTTTATTGAGGATTTTTGCATCAGTGTTCATTAGGGAGATTGGCCTGTAGTTTTCCTTTTTTGTGTTGTCCTTATTCGGTTTTGGTATTAGTGTAATGTTGGCTTCATAGAACGTGTTTGGTATTGTCCCTTCCTTCTCAATTTTTTGGAAGAGTTTGTGAAGGATAGGCACTAATTCGTCTCTGAATGTTTGGTAGAATTCATTTGTAAATCCATCAGGTTCTTGGCTTTTGTTTTTGGGGAGGTTTTTGATTACCATTTCAATTTCGCTGCTTGTAATTGGTCGGTTTAGGTGTTCTATTTCTTCTTTATCTAGCTTTGGGTGATTGTAGAGTTGTAGGAATTTGTCCATCTCCTCTAGATTGTTGAACTTGTTTCCATATAACTGTTCATAGTAGTTTCTGATTATTCTTTTGATTTCTGCTGTGTCCATTGTGATTTCTCCTCTTTCATTTATGATCCTGTTTATTTGTGCTTTCTCCCTTTTTTCCTTTGTGAGCCTGGCTAGGGGTTTGTCTGTTTTATTGATTTTTTTCGAAGAACCAGCTCTTGGTTTCACTGATCGTTTGGATTGTTTTTTTCAGTTTCAATTTCATTTATTTCTGCTTTGGTTTTCGTTATTTCTTTTCTTCTACTGGTTTTGGGGTTTTTTTTGTTGTTCTTTTTCTAGATCTTTGAGCTTTGATATTAGGTTTTCTTTGAGTTCTTTCTTGTTTCTTGATGTGAGCCTCTATTGCTATGTATTTTCCTCTTATACTGCTTTTGCTGCATCCCATACATTTAGGATATTGTTGTCCTCTTTGTCATTCAATTCAAAGAATTTTTTTAATTTCTTCTTTAATTTCCTCATTAGTCCAGTGGTCTTCCAGTAGTGTGGTTTTCAATCTCCATGAGGTAGGAGATTTCCTTGCCTTCTTTTTTTTTTTTTTTTTTTTTTTTATAGAGGCATGTTTTATTTATTTATTTGTTTGTTTTTGTTTATACATGCACTGGGTACAGTCAGAAGTGCGGGAGGGTGAGAGAATTCACCAGAGCCAGAGCCAGAGCCTGGAGCAGAGCAGGCAGAAGGACCGAAGTACACTGCTGAGAGGAGCAGCGGGCGGCAGGAGAGGTCTGCGCGCCATGTGGGACCCTCCTCCGGTGGCCGGGGAGCAGCTGGGGATCGAAGCGGCGCCTCCGAGGCCGCGGGCAGCTTCGCAACCCAGCGCTCAACCGCTGCGCCACCGGGGAGGCCCCCTTGCCTTCTTTTTATGGTTTATTTCTAGTTTGATGTCTTCATGGTCAGAAAAGATGGTTGGTATGATTTCAGTCTTTGTGTATCTGTTGATGTTTGTCTTGGGTCCCAGTATGTGATCTATCCTGGAGAATGATCCGTGTGTGCTTGAGAAAAAAAGTGTACTCAGATTTTTGGGGGGTTTAGTGTTCTATAGTGTTCTATAGATGTCTGTTAAGCCCAGGCTCGGACTGCTGTCCAGAAGGGGCCTGGTGTGGGCAAACTTCCCAGCTCACTCTAGCTCCTCAGGGAGACTTCTGCTGGTTTCAAGCAGTCTTTATTGAAGAAAGGTCCCTGTTCTAAAAAGGCAATGCAGGTACGCACTCCCCTGCACGCCCCGTCTGCTGGGGCGTTGGGTGCCTGCTCCCCCTCTGGGTTGGGACTGCTGGCCAGAAGGGGCCTGACCTGGTCGAACTTCCCTGCTCACCTCTGGCTCCTCCAGGAGCCTTCTGCTGGTTTCAAAAAGTCTTTATTGAAGAAAGGTCCCTATTCTAAAATGGCGATTCGGAGACAGGCACAGTCTCCAGCAAGCTGGATCTGCCCTGTCCATTGGTGCCCACACCCCCTCTGGGCTTGGACTGCTGGTCAGAAGGGGCCTGGCTTGGTCAAAATTCCCAGCTCACCTCTGACTCCTCTGGGAACCTTCTGCCGGTTTCAAGCAGTCTTTACTGAAGAAAGGTCCCTATTCTAAAATGGCGATTCAGAGATAGGCACACTCTTCTGTGTGCCTGGTCTGCCCAGGCCCTGGGTGCCCACTCCTCCTCTGGGCTCAGAGTGCTGGCCAAACTAGGCCTGGCCTGGGCGAACTTCCCAGCTTACCTCTGGCTCCTCTGGGAGCCTTTTGCTGGTTTCAAGCAGTCTTTACTGAAGAAAGGTCCCTATTCTATGGGGTGTTGGTGATTTTTTTCTGGTCACTAGGTGGCGCCTGAGATCTCTCCTAGTGCCCTTAGGGAGCTGTTTTTTTTTTTACCCGGTGGGACGGGGGACAGAGTGGGACTGGTGGGGAAAGCCTCAGTGGCTTTGGGGTGCTGTGTCTGCCTTGTGCCCCACCGTTGTGGGGATCCCACGCCCCGAATTTCGTGCCCTGGATCTCAGTTCCAAAGCCCTCAGGTCCAGGACGCAGGCTGTAGCCCAGGTCAGTGTCCGCAGAAATGGCGCCTTTTGCACCCAGCTCCCCTGTCCGGGTGCCTGGTTTCTGATTACTCACTGAGGGACATTCACCTCAGTGAGGGCCCCCGCGTGTTTTCCCACAAGCTTTGGTCACAGGCGCGGGGACCTGGGCAGCTGCAATCCACGTATCCTTTTCAAGCGTGCTGCTTTTCCACACAAGCTTACGGGCTGGCCTGGGGCTGTTTGTAGGTCTCTGGGAGTCTGTTTTTCTCTAATGGCGCCTGGAGCCGTTCGCTCACCTCCGTGGTGAATTCTGCAGCGTTCTCCACAGCTCCAGTTCACTGGTGTAGTGGCTGAAATAGTTCCTTTCCACTCACAGTCCCGCTTGATGCGTAGTTCTTGTTGGTTGTTTTAGTGTTTTTTTTTTTTCCTCCTTTCTGTTGGTCGGAGAGTGCCGACTTTGTGCGTGGGGGAGGGTAACAGGGTTCTGAGCTTTCCTCCCTTCTAGTCCTCTTTTATGGCAACTTTCTTCTTCGGGTAGTTTGCTGGAGTCACCCGTTTATCTTCCGTGTCCCAGTTCTCACTGCGACCTGCTGCTTTTCCTCCATATTAACTTTTTTTTTTTTTATAGTAATAAGTTTTATTATGAAATGAAGTAAACAGTAAATATAAAAAATGTCTTCACTGTAGGAAATACAAATGGAGGATGTTGGTGATTTCAAAATAAGTGCTTCCAGAAAAATATCAATTTTTTGATGATGTGCTACTTCTCATGCCAACTGACAATTTCTTTTTTTTTTTTTTTTAATTAATAAATTTTATTTTTATATTCTCCATACAATTGCAATCCCCCCATTCTGACCCCAATCCCTCCCCTCCCGCCCCCCACCCCCAAAAAGTGTCTCTGGTTCATAGTTTTTGTTGATTTTGATTTTCACTTTCTTATAGTTATTCATTTTCCTGGTCCCTTATTTAAGTTTTCTAGATTCCTGCTATGAGTGAGACCACCCGGTATTTTTTCTTTTTCTTTTTGGCTTATTTCACTGAGCATGATCCCTTCCAGCGTCATCCATGTTGCTGCAAATTGCATGTGTTTATCTTTTTTGAATGCTGAGTAATATTCCATGGTCATATTAACTTTTTTTTAACGGGAGATCTTACAGCGTTTCCTCGCCGCCATGTTGATCTACCTCCTGTAGTAATAAGGTTTTCATGTATTGATAGCGTCCATTATTACATTATAATTTTATGCTTTCATTTCAAAATAACATTAAGTAATTTGTTCAAAACATTGAATGCTTAATAGAATGTCTGATAACTAATATTTAATGCTAACTACATGCCTGGTGTAGGGACTTTATCAGTTGTATTTAAGTATATTTATATAATTTTTGTGATCAATCCTGTGTAGGTACTATCTCCATTAGTTTAGACAACTCTGAGTTTTAGAGACATTTAGTAAGTTACGCATAATCACATAGGCAATAAATGAAGAGATCGATTGGTGAATTTAAATAAAATTTTGTTGATGTACATACAATTTTAATGTACTATATGTATTTTGGGAGTAACACACCTACGTATGTTATAAACCTCATCTCATATGCCACCATAGTGCTAGTGTCATTCTCATTACCAGGTCAGCTCTCTACCATTCCCTTTCACCCACTTCCCCACCCAAAGAGTTGTTTTTGATGTGATTTGTTAATTTATTGTTTTGTTATATATAATGTAAAACAATTTGATAATTGTCTTTCACTTTGGCTTCTTTGGCTTAGTTGCATCATCACATCAAATTCTCTCCATGTTGTCATGAAGATTTTCTTTTTTTCTTTTTTTAAAGATTTATTTATTTATACAAGCACTGGGTACAATCAGAAGCGCGGGAGGGTGAGAGAATTCACCAGAGTCAGAGTGGGGAACAGAACAGGCAGACGGACGAAATACACTGCTGAGGGGAGCAGAGGGCACGGCAGGAGAGGTCTGTCTCTCCGTGTGGGACCCTCACTGGTGGCTGGGGATGGAACTGGCACTGCAGAGGCTGCGGGCAGCTTCGCAGCCCAGTGCTCAACTGCTGTGCTACCACAGGAGGCCCAGTCATGAAGATTTTCATCCGTTTTAATAACCGAATTGGGTTCCACTGAGTATATATACACTTTCCCAATTATCTATTGATGACCATATAGGTTATTTCATGTCTTAGCCTGTTATGAACATAGGGGTCTATAAAATTTTTTTGGATGAGTGCTTTCATATTACTCAGATAAATACCTATTTGTGTGTTTTAAGGTATTCCCGTTTTTAGTTTTTTATAGAATTTTCATATTGTTCTCCAGAGGGGTTGTACCAATTTAGATTCCCACCAACAGTGAATGAGAGTTCCTTCTTCACCATTCCCTCACCAACAGTTTCCAGTTTTTTTAATATAGATCATTCTCATATGTGTTAGTTGATATCTTGTTACAGTTTTGGTCAAATTTAGGTCTTTCAGACTCCAAAAATCCAGTGCATTTTTACTTCTAAACCAGATGCAATTCAGGACAAACTTAAAGGTCAATACTGAACAACTTGGAGTTGCTGAATAGTTGTGTTGGGAAGGGTTTAATTTATAAAAGTAGATTGACAATAGGTACATCTCAGAAAATGATGGCATGCCTGGCTTTTTTTTTTTTTGCTGCTCTACACTATGTGATAATGCTATATGTAATCCTTTACTTTCAATGTAAAGGTTTCTTTGTATTGTGACAGAAAGTAATATTTGGAGTCTGAATTTCTGCTAAAGAAGCATAGAGAGAGGAGCCATTATTAGCCGTTCAAATTTTTTTCCTGTTGTTCTACAGTCTTAGACATAAACAACAGGTTCCTTGTACCTGAACATCTAGAATGTCTTCTAGTTCTTAAGATCAATATTGTAGAGCTTTTCCACTGGGAGCTTTTCCGCTGGGAGGGACACTTGGAACAGCAAAAAGGTGTATCCAACATATAGTCACAGGAAGAGATAGGCACCAAAGTTCTAGCTCATTATTATACAGTTAGTGGATATATGTTTTTCCCTACAGTTTTCAGATCTAAATTTGTGCATTCATAAGTGAAGTTTCTCCTTTTAATTTTTAACATTAAAATTAAGAAATATTAGCAAAAAAAAAAGGCAGGAAAGCAATTTTGTTTGAGGAAGGCTATAACTTTGTTGCTTAACCACTTTCTAATGATGCAGGGAAAGTTCAACATTTCTGTCTTTTCTGCTTCAAATTATTATTCCTAGATGGTGATATAAACCTTGGCAGCATTTCTTAGGTGTTTATATTCTTGTCACTTAATGTATGTTTTGCATTCCTTTTAAAATAAGGATTTAGTGAGTGAAAAATTGAAGACTCAACAAATGAATAATGATCTAGAAAAATTAACGCATGAGCTTGAGAAGATAGGATTAAATAAAGAGCGACTCTTACATGATGAGCAAAGTACTGATGACAGGTAAGTATTAAATTTATTACACAATTACGCATACAAGCAAAAAAGTAGAGTAAACCATCTAGCGGCCCTAACTAACCTTGTTAAATGGATGGGCCCTTTCTGCTATTTGGCATCTTTTCCCAAACCTTCATTCATAAAATTAGTTAACGTTAATTGAGTTCGTATTTGCTGATCATTAAACATCAATGAAATAACAGTGCTTCAGCTGAGCTTTGAAGCATGAGAAAAATTTGCAAGGTAGAAACAATGAAGAAAGGCATTCCATAAAAGCACAAAGTTATACTGAACAATTCATAAGCAGACATTGAAGGTAGATTAGAAGAGGCAAACTTGGAGGCACAGAGACTAGTTAGGAAGCTGTTAGAATAGTGTCGGCAAGACATGATATGCATGTTTTCATAATGAAAGCATTAGACATGGAAATAAGGGAATATACTGAACTAAAACTTTCAGGAAATGGAATTGAAGCACTTAAAAATTATGATTGTGTCTGTGGGATCAGGAAGTCATTTAAGCCACTAAAACAGTTATTTCTAGGCCAGTAAGTTAGCCTTAATACCACAAAGAAAATAAAAGCTCATAAACACAAATTCCTTTAACATTCCTTGCCCTCCGTTTTGGAATTTGTGTATATCTGCATCTCCAGACAGATGGGGTCCTCTAATTTCAGATGTGTCCCTAATTTCTTCATTAGTCTAACCTTTCCAGTTTTTCAGTTGATTTCATTTTCCTTCTGAACTTCTTTGAAGATATCAATTAAGGTATTTATTCTTGCCATCAATTTAATGTATAAATTTATTCTATATCCTTGCTTACTCTACATATTGTATCATAAACCAAAATCTGACAATTTAATAAGCTCATGTACTCCGTCTTTCTATAGATTCTGTTCTTATAAAACTAAAACTAATATTTTAAGACTTCTATGGCCCAGATGCCCTTTTTGAGCATTATTTTTTGCTTTTGACAAACTTGGCTAAAATCTAGGGCTCAGTTTATTATGTGATTTTTGTTGCTTCATAACCTGTAATTATTTAAATGAGGGCGTAGAGCCTTAAGAGTAGCATTATTTCTCTCTTTAATAAAGATTTTTGTAAAACCTATTTATGGCATCATCATCTATAGTCATAAGTTATCTTTAAAAATAATTTTCTAGTTTCCAGTGATCAACTATATTATTTTTATGCTTGGATCTTAGGTACAAACTTTTGGAGTCAAAATTAGAATCTACTCTAAAGAAGTCCCTTGAGATAAAAGAAGAAAAAATTGCTGCTTTAGAAGCTAGATTAGAAGAATCCACAAATTATAATCAGCAGTTGCGCCAAGAACTTAAAACAGTAAGTGCTTTCCTTAGAATTTTATTTTATTAATTTTTTTATTTCTTTTTCTTAAATATGAGAGTATTCTCAAACAGGTCTTTGTCATATAGAATATAATAACAAATTACGGTGTAATTTACTCAAAACTATTTTATGTGTGTATGTCTCTGAAGCTGTTAGGGATACATCAGAATTAAGGGAGTGAGGTGGGACCTCCCTGGTGGCACAATAGGCTGAGCGCAGTGCTGTGAAGCTGTCTGCAGCCTCTGCGGCACAGGTTCGATTCCCAGCTGGCCAGGGAGATACCCATGTGGCATGACAGACTCTCCTGTCCCACCCACTGCTCCCCTCAGCAGTTTTTTGGGTCATGTGCCTTTTCTGCTCCCTGCTCTGTCTCTGATGAATTCTCTCACTCTCCCGTGCCTCTGGCCTGTACCCCAGTTCTTGTATAAATACATAAATTTTTTTTTAAAGATTTATTTATTTATACAAGCACTGGGTACAGTCAGAAGTGCGGGAGGGTGAGAGAATTCACCAGAGCAGGGAGCAGAACAGGCAGACGGACGAAATACACTGCTGAGGGGAGCAGCGGGCAGCAGGAGAGGTCTGCGCGCCATATGGGACCCTTGCCCGGCGGCCGGGGATCGAACCAGCACTGCAGAGGCTGTGGGCAGCTTCGCAAGCCAGCGCTCAACCGCTGCACCACGGGGGAGGCCCAATACATAAATCTTAAAAAAAAAAGGGAGTGAGGTGGCAAAAAGGTAGACTTACTTCATTGAGAAAAGTTCTCAATGTGACACTGACACTTTCTCAGTTGAGAATTCAGGTAGGTGTAAGGATAGCAAGTTGAGGAAAATTGCATGTATGGTGTTGAGAAAGCACCTAATCTCATAAATTTGAAGTCTTTTTTTTTAAAGAGTTTTTTTTTTTTAAGATTTATTTATACAAGCACTGGGTACAGTCAGAAGTGCAGGAGGGTAAGAGAATACACTAGAGCCAGAGTGGGGAATAGAACAGCCAGACTGACGAAATACACTGCTGAGGGGAGCAGTGGGCGCAGCAGGAGAGGTCTGTTGCGCCATGTGGGACCCTTGCCGGTGGCCGGGGATCGAACCTGCACTGCAGAGGCTGCGGGCAGCTTTGCAGCCCAGTGCTCAACCACTGCACCACCAGGGGAGGCCCAAAAATTTGAAGTCTTTTCTAGATTTGCTTTCTTGTGATAGTTGTATTATTGTTCAGCAAAGTAAGCAAGGCAGCTGTCTATTTTCTCTACATGAGTGAATTGAAACTGAAGCAGTTTCCTTATTTTGTAGATATAATATATGGTACAGTCAGTTTGCAGGGCTACCAGAAGTGGTCTTACAGACAATTAAAACATTCACACTGACAAGATTACGTTAAGAACCATTCAGTTTAAGGGCTACAAGGGGTTAAGATGCAACATATGAAGCTGCCTGCAGCCACTGCAGAATGAGTTCGATCCCCTGCCAGGGAGCTAACGCACATGGCGTAGCAGACCTCTCCTAACTGGCCCTCTGCTCCCCTCAACAGTGTATTTCAGTCAGTCTGCCTTTTCTGTTCCCCACTCTGTCTCTGGTGAATCCTCTTAGCATCTGCACCTCTGGCCTGTACCCCAGTTCTTGTATGCATAAATAAATAAATATTTGGGGAAAAAAAAACCATTCAGTTTAAAACAGTATAGAAAATACAAGTATCTTGCAGGGTACTGTCAGGTGTTCCTCTTCACATACTTGCCTTAGAGTCATTTTCCCAGTGGATGATAGTTTAGATACAAAAAGGTGATATTCACATTGGATTTCTGTAGGATCTACCCTGACTTTGAGACTTCAGACTCCACAACAGTAACGATCTCTTAAATTCCAGAGGCATAGATTTAATATTTCTGCAGTTGATAATACCAATTTTTTTTTAAATAGAGGCATGTTTTATTTATTTATTTTATTTGTTTGTTTTGTTTATACATGCACTGGGTACAGTCAGAAGCGCGGGAGGGTGAGAGAATTCACCAGAGCCAGAGCGGGGAGCAGAGCAGGCAGAAGGACCGAAGTACACTGCTGAGGGGAGCAGTGGGCGGCAGGAGAGGTCTGTGCGCCATGTGGGACCCTCCTCCGGTGGCCGGGGAGCAGCCGGGGATCGAACCGGCTCCGCAGAGGCCAGAAGCTGGGCAGCTTCACAACCCAGCGCTCAACCGCTGCGCCACCGGGGAGGCCCGATAATACCAATTTTTAGAGTCGCTGTGCTCAGAGAAATTCAAAGATAATGACTTCCTGTTAGGTATTTATAGTTTTCTCATGCCAAATAAAATGTACCTATCAGGAGTCATCTTTCCTTTGAGTAATCTTGCCTAGTAAATAAAACATTCTATTTTTATCAGGTTTAGAGAGAAACAACTCCTTAAAATGAGTTTCTTATATAGAAAGGGTCAACATTACCATGAAATATATATTATGAAAAAAGAAAATTCGAGAGCTTTGCTTAGTTAATATAAATAAATAATCCAAAAAACAGACTTGATGTATCTCCTGAAATTTTTTTGTCATATTAAGCAGTATTAGTAGGTTGCAAATAAATTCAATTTCATGAAGATAAATAGAAAATCATGGGCCTCCCCAGTGGCGCAGCGGTTGAGCGCTGGGTTGCGAAGCTGCCCGCGGCCTCTGCGGCGCCGGTTCGATCCCCGGCTGCTCCCCGGCCACCAGAGGAGGGTCCCACATGGCGCGCAGACTTCTCCTGCCGCCCGCTGCTCCTCTCAGCAGTGTACTTCGGTCCTTCTGCCTGCTCTGCTCCCCGCTCTGGCTCTGGTGAATTCTCTCACCCTCCCGTGCTTCTGACTGTACCCAGTGCATGTATAAACAAAAAAACAAACAAACAAACAAATAAATAAATAAAAACATGCCTCTATTAAAAAAAAATAATAAAAATAAATAGAAAATCATGTAGATTTGGATATGGGTTGATATATAATGTGTGCTTCAAGTCTAAAATGTAAGATTTAAAATTTTGTTACTGTCTTCCACTTACAGCCATTTTGACATAATGCTGTTGGGCTAGTTTCTTGCCATATACATGTATTCAACTGGAATTACACTGTTAATGTTAAACATTATATCTGAAGAGGCATGTCACTTGAAAATATAGGTAGTAGAAGCTAATATGAATAGTGTTAAGTTCTAAAGTAATCACTGAAATAGCATGACAATGAGATATAGCTAATATGCCTGCAAGGGAGACAAATATAATCATAAAAAATAAATCCAAAAGAGATAGAAAAGTGGTGGTGGGAATGAAGTATAAATTGATAGACTGGACAAATAAAAGACAAATAGGGGCCTCCCCGGTGGTACAGTGGGTTGAGTGTAGAGCTGTGAAGCTGTCCGCAGCCTCTGCAATGCCAGTTCAATTTGCAGCCAGCCAGGGATATTCCCACATGGTGTGGCAGACCTCTCCTGTCTTGCCTGCTGCTACCCTCAGCAGTGCTTTCGGTCATTCTGCCTGTTTGGCTCCCCACTCTGTCTCTGGTGAATTCTCTCACCCTCTCACCCTCCCGCGCCTCTGGCCTGTACCCCAGTGCTTGTATAAATAAATAAATCTTAAAAAAAAAAAAGATAAATAGATGGCAGTTTGTTTTTTTAAAAGATTTATTTTATTTATTTATGCATACAAGAGCTGGGGTGTAGACCAGAGGTATGGGGGGTGAGAGGATTCACGAGAGACAGAGTGGGGAGCAGAACAGGAGGATCTACTGAAATACACTGCTGAGGGGAGCAGTGGGCGAGACAGCAGAAGTCTGCTGTGCCATGTGAGTTAGCTCCCTGCCTGGGGATTGAAATTGTACTGCGGTGGCTGCCAATATCTTCATAGTGCTGAGACTTAACCCCTTGAGCCACTAGGGAGGCCCAGGATGACAGCTTTAAAGCAAATCATATGAATAATCACATAAAATATAAAATGTTTAAACACCCCAGTTATAAGGCAGAGATTAATACAGATTTAGATAAAAAGTCACGGTCCGAATATATGCTACCTCTAAGAAAATTCAATGAAAAATGACACCATTCTGATGCTAATCAAAATAATGCTGGATTGGCTGTATTAATATCCACAAAGTTGATTTTAGAGCAATGATTATTACCAGGGCTAAGAAGTTCATTTTACAATGATAAAGGGATCATTCAAGTAGAAACAAGTAGCAGTACTGAATTTTTGTTCACTTAATAACAGAGCTTCAAAATACATGCCACAGAAATTGATAGAATTGCATGAAGCAATAGATAAACTTACAATTAAGAAATACCAATTTCTTAATTAGTAAAGCAAGTAAGAAAGCAACACTAAAGATACAGTTTTGATAACACCACCAGCCAACAACAGGAAAACATTTGCTTTTCAAATGCTTACCAGGAAATTAATAAAATCACAAAAATCAATAGATAAATTAAGTAAAATGAAAAAAATGATAAAATTTGGAAAAAATTGATAAAATCCATATATCTAGACGGGTTGCATTAAAAAAAAAAAGATAAAACTCAAATTATTAATACCAGGGATGAGTGTGAGGATACATCCCTCAAGACATTTAAAATAATAATAAGGAAGTATGTATTTTGTTATGCCAAAAAAATGATTTATATGAAATGGGTAAGTTCCACAACTGAAACAAATTACTAAAATTGACACAAGAAGAAACAGAAATCTGAGTAACTTTATATATTTTAAAGAAATTGAATTCATAGTTAAGTCCTCCTTACAAGAAAATTCGAGACCCTTGTGACTTCATGGTAAATTCTGTAATATACTTAAAACAAAAGTATTTAATTTGACACAGCTCCTTTATTTTTTCCATATAAAGTGGTTTTTTAAAAATATTTTAGTTGAATGTAATTATTGATTTACTATTCATTTACAGAACCATATATTTTGGTAGTATGGCTGAATACCTAGATATGTCTGTGTTTTATGTCCTCACCACCAAAGTCCTAGTGACATAACACTACCAT